CAGTCGAGTCGTCCGTAGACCAATAGAGGTCACTTTGGGAACCAATACTCTAAATAAAACATCATATTGGACATTAGAATTACAGAGGCCTAGTGCTTTATTTGACTATTGACTTTTTTGCTTAAAATAGATTTAATTAAATAAATATTGTATAGTTCAGTTTAATATTCTTGTTTGGGGTATGGACTGGTTGTGATGGTTTATGGGTTTATTTATTCCAGATTCGATTTTTAATGAGATCATAGTTTTTTTTTAATCGCAGCAACTAACTCAATATGACCGAAAATGCTAAAAAATCTTTACAAAAACTTTGATTAGATTTTAGAGCTATACATATTTTGCAATAATTGTAGAAATTGGGCAGTTATACTACAAACTGATATTCTGTGTTCTAAGGTCTTAAGCGAGAAATGATTACTTTAAATAGAACGCTATATATTTTTTTAACGTCTAGCGCGTTTATCCTTTAATTGTTAGTTTTTCCACAGATAACTGGAAATAACATTTAAATACAATTTGTCTTGCCTGTGTTACTGTTAGATAATTTATTTAGACTTTTTGCTGCAAAGTCCATTTATTAAATGGCGTGTACATTTCGATATTTTATAACTGTAGTGATCACTTTCCATCACACTTTATCAAAATGAAAATCCTGCTATTGTCCTTTATCAGTCTCTAAGAAAAAATGTGTAGGTTCAACTGAATGAAGCCAGTGTCAGTATCGTGATGTTTGATTATTTTTAATTGATGGTATTGGTGTGGTCCGTTTAAATATCAGCTGAAATCACTATTTATTTCCATTTTACAATGGCATTCTAACAAAAGATTTAAGAAAACAATCATAAGATGTGATAAAAATATAAATTTTTTAATTTACTTTTTCAAAATTTTTCAAGACGAATATTTATTAGGGTTGTGGAATTGATCGGTTAATTTTTTTTGTCAATTGACCGAAGTAATTTCGAAAGTATAATTAAATTTATACGTATTTATTTATGTTTATTTATATTGTGCGTTACGTCGCCATCGCGTCGGCCGAGATTCCCGGAGTCGCTATAGATAAATTGTACATAACAAACGCATAATAATTTATTATAAAATACATATTGTTATTAAAGAATGATAGATAACGCTCTACAATTGGAAGATTTTATTTAAAAAATTTTGATCGAATTTGCCTAGTCAAGAAGTGGTCAGTTGAGAAAGAAAAATTAAGGCGGGTTCCTTTTTTTTTAAAAAAAAAGCAATCCATAATGCGCCATCCATTTTTCCATAGTTTATTTTATTAGGTACATCATCTATGGAAATTAATAGCATTATCAGGTCTAAGTGAACAAAACTCAAGAAAACTGGGCACTTATGTATCACAAATATGTATCTGTTCGTGGGTTTGTTAACGTAGCCCATTAAAACATATATTACCAATACGCGTCATTGCATTGAGCGGCTAGTTAAAAGCACGCCACTGTTCGAGTTTTAAAAAAATCACATCCGATGACGTCATTCTTTTATGTGTACCTACTTGTTTATCGGGACAATGCGGTGTACCGGTTTTTCAACAAATTTGTGATATTCGTGTCGTTTCACGGACTATTTGTTTATCGTCGATTGTGTGTCATAAAAAAATTTTTGGATCCATCTACTAATGTTGTAAATATTTTGTAAGTTGAGTAGTAGCAACTATTAATTTGAAGTAATTGGTATGTATTGTTCTTGTCATACTGAATACGTGTATTTTATATTTCAAAATAAGATTGTGATTCTTAGAGGCTAACAAGAACAATTCAGATTTAACCCTACAACCTTTACAAGGTGTTAAGCTTTTAAGGAAGAAAATCGTTTTTTTTTTTTCAAAAAAACTTTAATCGCGTCCTAGGTATTTTTATGCAATTTTGCTAAGAATCAGCAGTCGCTTTTTGATGTGGAGTATAGAATGGGAATTAAAAAAATACAGTTTTACATATACATATACATTAATACCAAAAATATTCCTTTGGAAAATGATTTAGGTAACGAAGTGGCAATTACTTAACATTCCCCCCAATAAGATGCTATTTAAAGAAATATTGGGTTGTTCGGAAAGTCATTTCGTTTTTTTTGGGGAACATGAAAGGCAGTTTTCGTAAAATGAATAAATATTTTATTAAATTATATATTGGCCATTCTGGTCCAACACCTTTTGCCATCTTTCTGGCAGTAACATAATTCCCCTCTCATAAAAGTTTTGGTCCTTGCTAGCAAAAAACTGGTTCAGGTGGTTTTTGACATCTTCATTTGAGGTAAAGGTTTTGCCATCCAAAAAATTTTGCAGGGACCGGAACAAATAGTAGTCGGAAGGCGCCAGATCTGGAGAATATGGTGGATGTTGCAGTACGTCCCATTCAAGCTGTAAAAGTTTTTGGCGAGTGACCAAACTTGTGTGAGGTCTCGCATTATCCTGGTGGAACACTACACCCTTTCTGTTGATTAATTCGGGCCTCTTCTCTTTAAGTGAATCATTCAATTTGTCCAGTTGATGACAATAGACTTCTGAATTAATCGTTGTATTGTCCCGCAAAAGCTCAAAAAAAACGATTCCTTTGACATCCCACCAAACGGAGAGCATCACCTTTTTTTGGTGAATGTTGGCTTTTGACACGCTTTGAGCCGGTTCATCTTTTCTGCTCCATGACCTCTTGCGTTTAACATTGTTGTATACAACCCATTTTTCGTCCCCAGTAATAATCCGCTTCAAAAATGGATCATTTTCTTGACGTTTGAGGAGCAAATCACACACGTCAACGCGACGACACAAATTTCGCTCCGTAAGGACATGGGGCACCCACACATCGAGCTTCGAGGTTAAGCCCATGCCTTTCAAATGGCCATAAACAGTCGAATTCGACAAATTTAATCTCTCACCGATCTCTCGTGTGGTTATTCGCCGATTTGCATCAACTAATGCCTTTATCGCATCTTTGTCAGTTTCGACCGGCCTTCCAGACCGTGGTGCATCTTCGACATCAAAATTGCCGGATCGAAATTTTGCAAACCAGTTCTGGCACTGGCGTACTGTTAACACGCCTTCTCCATACACATCCGTCAATTTTTTTCTCGCTTTTTACCTTTTCTGAAGTAAAAAAGTAAAATATGACGAAAATGCTGCTTATTGCTCTCCATATTTAAAAGGGCACCAACCAAAAACTACTGCATAGAATTAATAGAACTTTTTCACACACAAGCCTTGCAATATCAGCTCTCAAGACATATAATGGTTATGCGGCTTAAGTGTGAAGTTGGTTTCGAAAAAACGTAATTAAGTCCTCTGACGGGAAAAAACGAAATGACTTTCCGAACAACCTTATAAATCGTCCTTTTGAAATATAGAATCATAGATTGTCAATTTACAAGTTAGTTGAATCAATTTTCCTCTTTTAACTTCATTGCTCGGGAACAGTAAAAGATGGGTGTTTTCTTAAATAATTTATTAACTTTACTGCCTTATTGGATTGTTATACTTAAAATAATCCGTTGAGCTGAATTGCCAAACGTATAAGTTCTTTTGCACTCCTGAAACCATCACCTTATAAGCATTTTTTTCAATTGAGGCTTTAATTGCTAAAGTATAAATTAAGTAAGATTTAGCAATTTTATCGTCAGCGGTGGAAGTAAAATTCTCTAAACATTTTTATTACGGGATACACTGAAAAGGAGGATTTTGCATTTATGCTCAAGATGAGGATCATCAACTCAGTATTACTAGACTTATTTGGGATATCAAGAGGAAGAATAGCGTAGGTTAAGAAGAAATACCACCTTATACCATACAGATATATCGCGCAGTGCATATCACATACGGTCAAGATTAGAGTTTTGATTTGAGAATAACTGAACATTTTGACCATTCGTTGGAATATATTTTTAATAATTTTGTCCTAATTTTGGTTAGTTTCATCGATTGATATGATTGCATGGTGATTGTTACCAACTAAAATCGTTCATATCGTCAAACGCGATGGTGAAAATAACAATTAAAATCACTTATCGTCACACTGCTATTATTTATGAACACGCTACTAAAAACTCTAACGTCTCTTATTTATATCGGTCAACGTTGTATTGGGGCCTTGGCACGCTTCTCATTACTCGCTGCACAGCTTACTCATTTTTTGCATCAATCTTCAACGTCCTGGCCACAATTCTGGACATTCTGGACCATTAGCACATCTTAACTTATCTTAAGTTCGGGTATGGTGAAATTAAATAGCTCACTACGCGTAGAACATTTCGCTTTTATATCTTGTAGCGCTCTCTCGCGGTGTGTCGAATGTTTGAGTTCTCTTTCGAATGACTGGGTTGAATGTTGAATGTTGATTTCACTTAGGGAATGCACTTCTTGCAATGTAGGGACTGATATTGTCTTGCATGAAGGTGAAGGTGAATAATGTTTTCGAGATAGAATTTAGTATTCATAGACGTTGCACGAATAAGAAGCAGCTCTATGCGCGCCCCAAAACATATTCCGCCACAGAACATTTGTGACCCACCACCAAATGGCCCTTTGGAGAGATAAATAAACTCACTTATCGATACTCCAGTATACAGCTAGTAGTAGTAGTAGTAGTAACAGAAGTTAATCTTCGTGATCTGTGATCTGCACTACTACCCGATCCGACTTTTTTTAATTTTCGCACGACTGCAGAAATCCTGACAGTTTCGAGTTGATAACTTAGCTCTCTACTGGTACACTTTCTGTTTCGTAATATCTGTTGCAGAAGAAAGCGTTCATTAATTTGACTTGTAGCCCTTTCCTGCCCTGATCATGTTTTCTATGGTGGGTTCCGGTTTATTAATATTTTTAATAAATTACGGCAACGAAGTTACAGAATTATAAAAAAAAGCCAGTTAAAATTCCTAGTAGTAAATGCTAATAGTTGGAGGATATCCTTGTTAATAATGTAATGTAGGTGGTGCATTAATAACGAAAAGGAGTTTGTTTGAGCAAACTCTTTTTGTTCCAGGCAAATCCGGGGCCCGAATAGCACCAAAAAGAGCACAGTCGTCTCCTGATCATGGAATCGTATCTCCTACATCCACAAGTCCACCCACGAAGGTAACTAAGTTATTTATGTTAACATGTTTGTGGATGTTTATTTTTGTGTAATGTGCAATGTGTAATGTGTTGTCGCCATCCAAATACGTTAGTTTGTTTTGCATTTTTTTATTTTTTTGTTTTGACTTTTATAACCTTGGTGTCGCTTGCTAGTAATGGGTACATCTCATGTAATCATTAACATCATTATTTTTTAGAAAACACTTTCATCTAAGGGTTGTGTGGAAAGTAATAAATTGAGTAAAGCGAAATATTTAATAATTATTGTTCGGTGTTTAAGATTTGATGGAGTAAAAACCCTTTTTTTTTCATGTTTGTCAAACAAATTCTAAAATCTTCTTCAACTTCTATAGTGTGTCATTAATAATGTCTTGGGTTCTTAGATTTTCCGTTGATCTTTCCCAAATTTTAAATATCCAACCAGTCAACCGTTTCTCTTTATTAAAAAATAATGGATATGATTTTAATCTAGTTTTTAAAACTAAGCGATGGAATTACCAGCGACTGGAAAGTTGCAGCATTATGCAGGGTTAGTCATTTGTCAATTTTTTGATATAGTGAGAGCAAGTCATGGACTTTATGTAATTAAAATAGTTCTTCTTTTATCAGTTAAAAACATAAGTGTTGGTGTTCTTTTGTTGTTTTCTTATGGTTTACGGTACGGTAAATAAAAGTTGGTCTTATTTTATTTTTAATTTGTTTCAAAGTTTCAGAATTTAAGAAATCGCCGATTTTCAACAATAGATAAATTTTAATTTGTTAATTATATTATTTTCCGGATTTGATTTAAAAAAATCAATTGAAGTTCCAATAGACTTATTTGTAAATTAAATTGATTCATTTTTTTTAAGTTTTTGGGATAAGTAATATGGATGATCTTCTGTTTGTCCTGCTCTAAATTGTTTTGTTTTATCGAATTGGTAAACAGTCACTAAATATACTTTATTTGCAATTTAAATCATTAAATTAATTCGCTGTACATCCACTGGAACTAGACGACCCTATTGCAATCCAAAATCCGATAAAATAAAGCGCCAAAGGTACAAAATTGTGCTTATTTTAGATAAAAATTATGCATTCAGATTTGTGCTGAAGAAGACTACTTAAATATTTTATCGATTTTCTCGGAGCACCTATTTTCGGAACATGGCAACCTCGATTATTTTTTATTCAACCGGTCTGGAAAGAAAATGCTTGTGCATGTAATTATTTGAAAAGCTTCAGCTGGCTTACAGTTTCGGTGTCTTGGTTCACGTACTGCACATAGGTACTAAATATAATATTACGGCCTATGCTGATAAAAAATGTTCAGTGTAATCTGCGCGACTCACTTCAAACTTCACTTTCAATCAGTACAACGTGGTGGCTGACATTTCGTAAATTCAAGAGTGTTCAGTTTAGCTGTGTTCAGAGCGTCCAGTTTATGCTGTTCTCAAAATATGGGCAATGCCCATTAAATTTTAAGCAAGAAAGACTGTAATGTAAAATGTAATAACCCTATCAATTTTACCGAATTATCTTTTAGTTATATAACGTACTACTTCTGCTTGCGTAGATTTTTTTAATAGTTCTAAGATGTTTCATTAAAAAAAATGTATTTCGCTCCTCAATGTACAATAAACAGTGTGGGTAGTTAATTAGTGTGTTAGTTAGATTTGCGAACATGCTTTTTGGGGTGTATATATGTTGAGGCTAATTAGATTACTTCTATAATTTTCAAACTAACCAGCTAAAGACGCAGTTATTTTGTTGGAATCAGCCGATTCCCACAAAATAGCAATGATCAGTGGATGGTTTGAAAACTAGCTGGTTAGTGTGCATTCTATCGATTTGCGATGAAGATTTTATTTAAGTATAATATAATAGCATGTTGGTTTTGTACTAACTACTTAGTTTACAAATTTTATTTCAGTTCATGTTAAGATATCACGGTAAACAATATTTTTTTGAAACAAAAGTTTTTGTAACAAAAACATAAATACAAGTATTTATCACTAATTCATCATACTAAAATTTAAAATTTTAGAATTATTCACCTTGTCCTCCAGCTTGACCATTAACTGGTTATTGAAGTCATCTTTACAGGTCGGTGCCATCATTTTAATATTTTTTCCGGTTAAAGAAGTAAAATTTAAGTACGTACACCAAAGTTTTAAAAAAATACATTAAAAATGTTTTATGACTGGCTAACTAAGTTTACTTTATACGTACCATGATTTGATTGTTTGCAGACACAATCGAAAGCTTAAAATCGTACGTTGTGCATTTTTATTACTTGATAGCGTTTATTGTAAATATGTTATACATTCAACACCGGCGACATGAAAACATAAAATCACTTACACTTTTTTTTTAAACAATTGTGATTACCGTGCCTGTCAAAAAACAAGGTAAATACGGAAAGGTGCGAATGTACGGTAGTGACAGTGTTCAAGTTAGCCAGTAAGCTAGATATTTCAGGCGACTAGGGCGGTTGTAGTAATCAACTTAACTAATGATATTTGGATAAACAAAGTATTTAAAATGTCTAGTTAATATTGCGAGTTATTAGTTTGCATACTAACCCGCATAAGCTTTAGTTTCTCAAATGTCTTTATCCTAAACTAAAGTGATTATTTTATTATTAGTTTTTTCCTAATTCATGATTTAGTTTGTTTTATTTTAGGATTATATGTATACATACATTTTTGTTTGTTATTGATAAACTTCAATTCAAAATTTTCAAAAGAATTTTACAAATTTTTTTCTGTGGATGGTTTGGGTTAATTTAGATCCATGTAGATTATTATATAAATAACTAGCTATTTACCTACGGTCATCGGTAGCGAGTAATAGTATATAAATAATAATACAATACACACCATTTCCCTAGAGTAACCACAAATTCAGCTGACAAGAGGGAAGCAATTTTTTTATGGTATTGACTGTCCATAAATTTGCCTTCTGTTGTTTATAAGTTTGGTGTTGTTTATTTTCCAAAGCAAAATGTAGAAATTTTCTAATTTCATTCCTAAGAACAAAAAATCCAAATAAATTCTTCCCACATACTTTGCAAGGTGTAGATGATTAGAGTAGTTTTCAGGTTTAGGTTTGATATGATTTATCATATATCAAAAAGCTGAACACAAATAATATAAATGAAAAACATTTTTATGGTCACAAGGTAATATTAAAACATATATCCTGAATTTTGATTAGTTTTATCCTTCTAATTAAGGTTAAAATAAAAAATTCAAGAGGATTTACATATTTCAAGTCGATACTAAATGATTCCTCAAATTGAAGTTTATGAAAGCCAAAGATTATTTGAAAAATAAAAATATTTTAACAGTACAAGTACAATTCGCCAAACAAATAGCAGGTTTTATTACATGTTTACAGTCATTTGCCTGCGCCCCATAAAATCATCGATGAATTTGATACGAATGTGTATATGATTCTATTACATTTAGTCGACTTTAACGATATAAGTTGCATAAACATTGCACAAAAATAAATATCGGACCTGTGTTATCGCGTGGTGCGTTGAGCAATCTCCGTTTTCTTAACCCACACTGTTTATTTTCATAGGAAGAAAGCTTGGACATTATTGGACAGTACAAACCCGAAATATTTTGTTGAATTTAAACATTTCATAACATGTTATCCATGCGTTTTATTTTTAGCGCGCTTTTCACTCATTCATTTCGCTTTTTGCTAACAAACTGCTCAGTTCTGTGTCCCCTTATTTAGTATATATAGTTTTGCTTTCTAAATATTTGCAGTTTATCTAAAATATTATGTTGAACCTTTTTTAATACTTCATATTTTTTATAATTTTTTTTAATGTATATTGAAATATATTTTTTTAATTTTAGATAGCGATAACTAATGTAGGTTGAGCACGTAGAGAACCATGCGCAAAATGTGGTCTGCCAGTATTCATAGCAGAACGGCTAAACGTTGGAAAACTACTGTGTCACCGAACGCGTTTTCGTTGCGCACGTTGTAACTCGCAGCGTACTCTGGCCAATTATTACGAAACCGAAAATGGGGAATTCTGTTGCGTTCTGTATATAGCTAGCTATATTTATCTCTATAGAATTTGGATGAATTTTCTTTTTGTGTCTAACCGCAGCAACCGGAGTAAATGGCTCGATTTGCGTCTCTTCTTCACCAGATGGATTTAATACTTTGGGATATTTTTTGCTTTCAGGCAAGCAAACGCGTGGCAAAGCTTAAGTATCCTTTTGTCATTGTTTTTTATGGGGTTTGTTCAATAACAGACGTATCGGAATTATCAGACACAAACTACGTTTCTAACGGTAAAGCGGATTCCGATGGGATAATTTTTGTTCGGAAGAGTTATTTGTTTTATAAAAAACTTCGCTACGAGCTGATAAATCTGAATCATCCGGTACGGTATCGTTGGAAGCTGGCAAGTGAAGGGATTGTTCCACAATTCGTGTACTTTTTTTCTTTACTGCTGTCTAAGACTTTTATCACGGAATCTGAACTACTCAAAATATGTATAACCGAATCGCAAATGTCTTTTCTCGCCGATACGCTAATGTCTTCATTTTTACCATCTAATCCTTCTTTAGCTTCATCCTCATTATCTTGATTGCGGTCTTGCAGTTCAATATTGTCTCTAACTTGTATAATTCCTTGACCAACGAAACTAGTTTCTCTTTTAACGATAGAGGCAACAATACTTAATTTTTCTTCTCTTTCCCGATTAGCGAACTTTCATTAATTCAGTTGTTATTATTGGTATTGTTCTCAATTAGCTTTTCATCAAGCTCGTGTTGACTTATAATTTTGTCAACAAAACATGTTGCTTTACTAATATTTGATTTAGTTTGGGAAGCTGCGCTATCTGGTAACCTACGTCCAGAAATATTCTCGTTGTAAATGAGACCTCCATCTATTTCAACATCTTTTTTGCTAATATTGTCAAAATCTTCTAGATCATGTATGGTTATAACTCTGCAACTTTGCGCGGTGGTGACGCTGAAGGCACTTCCTTATTTGTTTCGGACTTTTAAAAATCTTTACTAGTTTCGAATAACTTCATTCTAGCACTGACCAAACCGATAGAGCTGAATGGATTATTTTTGGTAACAAAATCATCGTCCGCCTTTTTACTTACACTAATACTACTATTCCACTGTCACTATTAACCGATAAGTTTTTGCTTAAGAAAGAACCACTCGCACTGACGGGCGGGGGAGTAGTTTTAGGGAGGTCTGGTGGAATATCGTCTTCACTAGTGGAACTAGACGTTGAATTTTCAATTTTACTTTTAAAAAACTGAGACCTAGCCATACTATATTCCGAACTGCTCGCAGTCGTAAGAGTGAAATTTTTTTTTAGTTCGCCATCAATGGGAAATTCAAGCGCCGTGTCAAAGTGTGTGCTGTATGCATCAAGCATATCTAACTTGTTCTGCAGGATATCTGATTTTTCCTCATCGCTCATGGAGCGAGTCAAAACCGAATGTTCGGGTGTGATTTTCTTAGATATCTGTTTTTCTTCGTCTGAGCATATTTCGCAACAGAATTCCCCATTTTCGGTTTCGAAATAATTGGCCAGAGTAAGCTGCGAGTTACAAGGTGCGCAACGAAAACACGTTCTGTGATACAGTAGTTTTCCAACGTTTAGTCGTTCTGCTATGAATACTGGCAGACCGCCTTTTGTGCATGGTTATCTAAAATTAAAAAAATATATTTTAATATACATTAAAAAAAATATATAAAATATCAAAAAAGATTCAACATAATATTTTAGATAAACTGCTATATTTTAGAAAACAAAACTATATATACTATATAAGGGGACACAGTACTGTACTGAGCAGTTTGTTAGCCAAAAGCGAGATGAATTAGTGAAAAGCGTGCTAAAAATAAAACACATGGATAACGTGTTATGAAATATTTACCTTAAACAAAATATTTAGGGTTTGTACTCTCCAATAACGTCCATGCTTTGTTCCTATGAAAATAAACAGTGTGTGTTACGAAAACGCTCAAGCACCACGCGATAACGCAGGTCCGATGTTTATTTTTGTGCAGTGTTTATGCTACTTATACCGTTAAAGTCGACTAATGTAATATATATATATATATATATATATATATATATATATATATATATATATATATATATATATATATATATATATATATATATATATATATATATATATATATATATATATATATATATATATATATATATATATATATATATATATATATATATATATATATATATATATATATATATATATATATATATATATATATATATATATTTATTTATTTATATATATATATATATATATATATATATATATATATATATATATATATATATATATATATATATATATATATCCATGTAGATTATTGTATAAATAACTAGTTGGTTATCGGTAGCCAGTAATAATATATAAATAATAACACAATGCACACCATTTCCCTAGTGTAACCATAAATTCAGCTGACAAGAATGAAGCAATTTTTGTATGGTATTGACTGTCCATAAATTTGCCTTCTGTTGTTTGTAAGTTTGGTTTTGTTTATTTTCCAAAGCAAAATGTAGAAAAATTGAAATGTTATAATTATCATTCCTGAAAATCTAAAATTCAAATAAATTCTTTCCACATTCTGTGCAAGATGTAGATGATTAGAGTGGTTTTCAGGTTCGATGTGATATGATTTATCATATATCAAAAAGCTGAACACAAATAGTATAAATGAAAAACATTTTTATGGTCACAAGATAATATTAAAACACATATCCCGAATTTTGATTAATTTTATCCTTCTAATTACGGATAAAATAAAAAAATACAAGAGGATTTACATATTTCAAATCGATACAAAATTATTCCTCAAATTGAAGTTTATGAAAGCTAAAGATTGTTTGAACAGTACAAGTTAAAGTACAATTCGCCAAACAAATAGCAGGTTTTATTACATGTAACAGATATTTTGCATACTATAGTATTTGCACGTTTACAGTCATTTGCCTGCGCCCCATAAAATCATCGGTGTATACGATTTTACTACATTTAGTCGATTTTAATGGTATAAGTAACATAAACATTGCACAAAAATAAACATCGGACCTGTGTTATCGCGTGGTGCTTTGAGCAATGTCCGTTTTCTTAACCCACACTGTTTATTTTCATAGGAAGAAAGCTTGGACATTATTGGACAGTACAAACCCGAAATATTTTGTTGAAGGTAAACATTTCATAACACGTTACCAATGCGTTTTATTTTTAGGGCGCTTTTCACTCATTCATCTTGCTTTTTGCTAACAAACTGCTCAGTACAGTACTGCGTCCCCTTATCTAAGTATATATAGTTTTGCTTTCTGAAATATAGCAGTTTATCTAAAATATTATGTTGAACCTTTTTTAATACTTTATATTTTTTATAATTTATTTTTTATGTATATTTAAATATATTTTTTTATTTTAGATAGCGATAACTAATGTAGGTAGAGCACGTAGAGAACCATGCGCAAAATGCGGTCTGCCAGTATTCATAGCAGAACGACTAAACGTTGGAAAACTACTGTATCACCGAACGTGTTTTCGTTGCGCACGTTGTAACTCGCAGCTTACTCTGGCCAATTATTACGAAACCGAAAATGAGGAATTCTGTTGCGAAATATGCCCAGACGAAGAAAAACAGATATCTAAGAAAATCTCACCCGAACATTCGGTTTTGACTCGCTCCATGAGCGATGAGGAAAAATCAGATATCCTGCAGAACAAGTTAGATATGCTTGATGCATACAGCACACACTTTGAAACGGCGCTTGAATTTCCCATTGATGGCGAACTAAAAAAAAATTTCACTCTTACGACTGCGAGCAGTTCGGAATATAGTATAGCTAGGTCTCAGTTTTTTAAAAGTCAAATTGAAAACTCAACGTCTGGTTCCACTAGTGAAGACGATATTCCGCCGGACCTCCCTAAAACTACTCCCCCGCCCGTCAGTGCGAGTGGTTCTTTCTTAAGCAAAAACTTATCGGTTAATAGTGACAGTGGTTTTCCTAATAATAAACATGACAGTAGTTCGAATAGTAGTATTAGTGTAAGTAAAAAGGCGGACGATGATTTTGTTACCAAAGATAATTCATTCAGCTCTATCGGTTTGGTCAGTGCTAGAATGAAGTTATTCGAAACTAGTAAAGATATTAAAAAGTCTGAAACAATTAAGGAAGTGCCTTCAGCATCATCACAGCGCAAAGTTGCAGCAGTTATAACTATGCATGATCTAGAAGATTTTGACAATATTAGCAAAAAAGATGTTGAAATAGATGGAGGTCTCATTTACAACGAGAATATTTCTGGACGTAGGTTACCAGATAGCGCAGCTTCCCAAACTAAATCAAATATTAGTAAAGAAACATGTTTTGTTGACCAAATTATAAGTCAACACGAGCTTGATGAAAAGCTAATTGAGAACAATACAAATAGTAACAACTCAACTAATGAAACTAAGTTCGTTAATCGGGAAAGAGAAGAAAAATTAAGTATTGTTGCCTCTATCGTTCAAAGAGAAACTAGTTTCGTTGGTCAAGGAATTATGCAAGTTAGAGACGATATTGAGCTGCAAGACAGCAATCAAGATAATGAGGATGAAGCTAAAGGAGAATTAGGTGGTACAAATGAAGACATTAACGTATCTGCGAGAAAAGACATTTCCGATTCAGTAAGACATATTTTGAGTAGTTCAGATTCCGTGATAGAAGTCTTAGACAGCAGTGAAGAAAAAAGTACACGAATTGTGGAACAATCCCTTCACTTCCCAGCTTCCAACGATACCGTAGTCTCAATTTCGGATGATTCAGATTTATCAACTCGTGGCGAAGTTTTTTGTAAAACAAATAACTCTTCCGACCAGATATCAAAAATGATCCGATCTGAATCCGCTTTACCGTTAGAAACGTCGTTGGTGTCTGATAATTCCAATACGTCTGTTATTGAACAAACCCCAGAAAAACAATCACAAAAGGATACTCAAGCTTCGCCAAGCGTTTGCTTACCCGAAGGCCCAAAATATCCCAAAGTATTAAATCCATTTGGTGACGAAGAAGAAGAGGCGCAAATCGAGCCATTTACTCCGGTTGCTGCGGTTAGACCCAAAAAGAAAATTCATCCAAATTCTATAGAGAGAGATATAGCCAGAGAATTATATACAGAACGCATCAGCTTAAATCCATTTGGAGAGGAAGAAGAAGCGCAAATCGAGCCACATACTCCGGTTGCTGCGGTTAGACCCAAAAAGAAAATTCATCCAAATTCTATAGAGAGAGATATAGCCAGAGAATTATATACAGAACGCATAAGCTTGAATCCCTTTGGCGAGGAAGAAGAAGTGCAAATCGAGCCATTTACTCCGGCTCCTGCGGTTAGACAAAAAAAAAATATTCAACCAAACTATATAGGGGGAGATTTAAGAGGAGAATTATGTAGTGAACGCAACAATCTGAATCCATTTGAAGACTGCCAGTTTGAGGAGGACGTTGTTGCAACCAAACCAGTCGCCAGCCCAAGACGTAGAAAGAAAATTACAAATCTTGGTGAAACATCGAATATTAATCCATTTGAAAGTGATGACGAAGAGAACATCGTGCCTGTACTCGCAGGAAAAACTAGTAGGTAAGCGCAGAGAATGTAATTTTTGTAAAATAATCGCGCAAATAATAATATATAATACGGCGTGATATACTAAAACCAGATTTTTTTCCTTTTTTTTATAGACTTACTAAAAGAATTAATTAATAACCACATATATGCGGTTTTTATCAATCAGGGAAATATATGTGCGCAAGAAAGGCCAAAGATATTTATTTTTTTTTTACTAAAAATGATCTATTCCAAGGACATTTTACAGATGAAAAACGAAGTGATATCTAATTTTAGTTGTATTTGCTCGTCCATTTAATAATTTTTCTTTTTCTTTCTCATTTTCTGGAGGAAGAACATGTTGCAGATCTACGTCGATTTCTACTAACGTCACCTTTCAGGCCACTGAAAATGAACATTTGTCGGCACACATCATAGGGGTTATGATACAGTGCCACCTCTTCACTACTAACTACTTAACTATAAAGTTCGCTTAGCCTTGCGCAGATGGTGTAACCTGAGCTGAATTAACACTAAATCAACAATTTTGGAATCCCTAAATCTACAAAAAAAGCAAAGCGATAAAACGAAAATGTTCATCTCAAATGTAAATGACCTCTGTAAATATTTCATTAGCTGAAATTTAGGCCTATTTAATCTAGTTTAACGATTTTCCTGATACATTATATTTATTTATATGTTTTTATATGTGTTTTGTTCTATCATGAAGTATTTATTTCAACACTAACTTTTGTGCACTCGGGTTATCATCTAAAATTAGTATCGGTTTTTCAATACCCACAAATTTTTTCAAAAAACTTTTAAGAAACATATCAGCTTGTGATATTGAAAAATACGTCGATGGTTAAAAGACTAAAAATTTCCAGCTTTTAATCCTTTCGCAAAATTGCGTTCTAATAATCAAAACACATAGCTCGACATCCCAACGATCAGTGATTTTACAAACTAAAATGTTTATCTATAGTCCCTGTCAAATATCTTAAGACTCTGTAAATAATGGATATTTGAGTAGCAGTTACTAAATTGACTCACTCCAAAAGCTATTATTGGGGTTAAACAATCAAACCTGGTCCCCAGCTTGATGACGATTGACTGCAGCTTTCGCTTCGTATTCATCTTCATCAACAATTTCGGATGTTCAATTGCACTTGCTCGTTACCTAGTTGATCTTTTACCGAAGATTTCTCACATAATCATCTCCTGCGAAGAGAATCGGAAGACATTAGTACCTGGCCCGGAATATTTGCTATTGTTTCGTGAATGCTTAACAGGACAAGGTGTATAAAGTGCTCGTAGTCTTTGGTGGTCGGAAGAGACTACTTTTCATTCTTATATTCAGCATCTTGCACACGTTTTGAAAGGAATAGAATTTACAAGTCCTGCATATCTACCTCTTTACAAACATATCGGCAATAAGTGTAGCTGCTTAATCGGCAAATTGCAGGCTTCAGAAAACATTCCCACTACGACGACAGCAATTCTTTCTGAGATCCATTACTCGCTTCACAGGTGCGTTCACCTAATTTGTCAAGTAGAACCATTCCCCGATTGTCTTGAACATTTGGGTAACTTCAAGACGTCCTCCTCTAACTCTAACGTAGACAGACGTCTTGCAAATCTCGGCAACATTCTACAACATCTTCCGAGTTCTTCAGAACAGGCTTCAGAAGCCGATCGTTCACAACAAGAGAATCCTAATGAGAGTTGTAGTTGTATCTAAGTAATTGTCTCGTATACGAGGTATGCCTTGAATTTCTGACTGACTGTTTTGGTGCGTCGCGTCCTAATGCGCGAACTAGGGTATCCGCCAACTCATTAGAGCTTGCCGCGTTTCGACGTTGAGTCCATCTAAAAAGGGCCACACCCCAACCGCTCGATAATATTTCTTTGGAACTCCAGGATGCGCAAATCGGACTAACCTACCATATCAACTTCAAACTCCTGGAGAGTTTCATTAGATCTCTGTACCGATTTCTCAGTTGCCAGTGCTATATACACAGATAGGTAGATAGATACAAACGACTTTATTTTCAACTCCTCGAACCGAATACGCCAATCTTGCAACTTATTTTTTGATTGAAAATTTAACAATGGTCCGTACGCGAAATTACAATAGGTGGTGTGAGATTGCACGAGTTTTGCATAAGGTCTATTCCAGAAATCGAGTTAGCATGACCTTACTTTTGTGTAAATTCCGAAGTGACATATAAGATCTCTGTATTATTGTCGACATCTAAGTACTGAACCTGAGCTGATCATTAAAAACAATACCAATATTTTTGTATGTATTTTATAATGGTTATTGCACTTCCTGCTACAATTGGTTGTAAGTTTTCGTAGGCCTAACCGCAGTCTGGTTTAGAGAACAATTTAAGTTCATTGCTACAGCAATAACAAAGGTCGTTGTGCAACAGCCTTCATAGCCCGTTTTGAAAATGAGCGATCACCACATTCACAAACTGGAACCTCCCTGTCGAACAGTCTCGAATTACTCTTACTACAAGAATATTTTCGGATCCAAGCACTTCGTTTTTTGTTGAACCCTGTGGAACTCAGAGTGCCATCATCTTCTCCAAAAATCTTGGCGTAACCTAAGTAAAGTTTGATACCGAAAAAACTATTTGTATTTAAATTTGATAGATCAGTAAATTTTAAAAAAGTTTGATACCGAAAAGACTATTTGTATTTAAATTTGATAGATCAGTAAATTTTAAAATCGGCATGTCGATTTAAGAAATAAAATTAAAAAAAATAATTTACATTTGTACATAGACAAAAATAATTGGCCACAAATATTAATGGATATATTTTAAACAATTATAATCACTTTAGCTCGCATTTCTGACTCCAAATGAACAATGCTACCATGAGACTCGGACGATCAGACGATTTTTTGTGCGAATATTAAAATGCAAATATCTAGGAACGGTGTAATTTATCGAAATAAATGTAGTATATTTTTTTACTAAGGAACGATACTAGCAAAAAAATCATGACATGAAAAAACGAAATTATAGTGTGTAACTAACGCCCTCTACATATTATAAATATCATAATATTTCACTTCATATAATTAATACTTATATATGTATTAATAAACTATCTGTTGTCCCACACAGTAGTTAGCTTATTGGGTCACTTATGGTGGCTTTGAAAAACAAAAAATCGTGCCCACATGGAAACAAAGTGGATATAAAAACGGTAATGTCTGGTTTTATATATTACGCGACAAGTAATGAAAAGTACCGACGAATTTACATAGAGTACAGTAAGTACGTACTCTCCATCACGTGTGAAAAAACTTTGTTTCTTTAAGGTCTCAGTGGAATTAAGTTAATAATTGTTTTCAGTCAGCGAACCCACCGCTATGTAGTGTGCGTTTGAGTGTCTCCGATATTTATTGTTTGGATTTAAGGAAGTACCGAGTTTGCTTGACTCTAGAATTAATAATTTTGTGCGTTTGCATTCGTTGATATGCCGGATATAATAAATCTCTGTGGTTGTGCATAAAAATGAGGATTAGCGATTGATAGGAAAGCCGTCACCAATCCGTTTAGTTTTAGTTTGTACTAATTTTTTGTATAGCCTAGAGCAAATTTGCTCTGATAATAATAATGTTGTCTGAATATTCACCTATTAATTAGTGGAATTATGTTGATGTCGATATAGGTTGACTTTAATAAAACAAAGATTATTATTCGTAACCGTATCTATATATCTTTACAAATCAAATATTTATCGAGTGAAAGTGAAAACACATCCTTTTTCGATTTAATTTTAAAGGGTTCGTTATAAATTATATTACGAATGGGTCGTAAATATAACTTTTTCTTTTTCTATGATCTGTGGCTGTGAATTTATTCTATTTAAAATTCAAATCGACTTCTTTGATTCGTTTTTAAAATTAAACACTTTCTAAAAAATTACTTTCATAATTATATTATAATTAAGTAATGTACGATATATGTTGTCACTTTATGTAAAACTCAATTGGTGCAATTTTCATTAAACCACACATTTCAAATGTAAAGCCTGATCGTATTTCTGCGGTTTGAAAAATTTCTACCCAGCGAAAAGATGTTAAAATATCGTGTCACCAGGACATCGCATTTGTCGCCTCCTGCCTGCCATCAAGAGCCTAAAGTACGCGACAACCTATCAGTGACGAGTAAGGGCAGTCACGGCGGGTCTAATTCGTCTATATCTAGCGGTAGCGCCATTGGAAGCGCTAGAAAGAAGAAACCAGCACCTCGACCGCCCATACCGTTCCCTGTGGTGAGTAAAGCTAAAAAAACTTATACGCTTTTAATTGCAATAGCGATCTCAATGTTCAGTAGCCAGAAATGTTAAATGTAAATGTTGTGTCTACTTGTTTTTTCAGACTACAACTCGAAATATAACACATCGTAAATCTAAAAGGGCTCCTCCCCCACCAATTACTTCAACACCTGCGGTCAACAAGCAAGACTTTGATAATAATCGACGTTCCGAGGTTCTACTTTCTCCAGTGGCTGGGGAAAACAATTCTTTAAGTCTTGTCAACAATACTGAAGAAAAGGAAGAAGGTGCAGAGTTAGAAAAAATTGTCAAAGACGAAGAAAACAGAAATAGGCAAAGTCAACAGTTCGAAAATGTTCAGAGTAGGTTTCCAGTTTTATCCAAAACTGCCATAAAAATATTTTTTTATTTTCAGTTCCAACATATGGCGAAAACTTGGCAGTGCCAAACAAAAGTACTTATGGTAAATGGAAGAGGCGGAAAGGTCAAGCGCCAGCTCGCCCCATCCCAGAGCGTCGAATTATTAAATCTCTGCCCATGTCTGAGATTCGCAGGGAGTTGGATACAATTGAAATTCAACAACAGGGTCTTGAAAAACAAGGTGTCAGATTGGAACAGATCATTAGAGACAAATGCGAAGGGAATGGAACCTTCAATTCTGGTAATTTTTTTTGGACAAAACCTGAGTTTAACAACCATAGCAACAAGCTCTCGCACACACAAACACAAGTAAAATTAATTCGAATATTTTCGGAACGACTCTGTTTTAAGAAATGTTATAATCGTTCGAAAATTAATTATTTTTATATGGGGTGTTGCTTTATCAAGCAGCTTTTAAGGGCGTAAAATTATACTTCTCGGCTTGGGGAGCGATAAAGGAACTTTTTCAACAACCGATAGATAGTTTAATTAATTTAATTAACGTGGCTTTAGTCACGAATTTAATTTGGGACCAGTGGAGTTTAAGAAACGAGTTATTACTGACTAAAAAGTTTATGGAAGTATTACATACTATAGATCCTTTTTCTATTACTATTGGTTTCTTTTAACACACAAATATGCCTTGTATTTAATATTTGAGATAATAATATGTCCACCATTTTTTAATAGGTCAGGCGGAAACCAGGTCGTTGAAAAAAGTCATGCGTTTAGTACACAAGTAGCTTGCCTTGCATTAATAATTGGTTATATTATATTGCAAATTACAATAATCATAATAATCCGATGGTTTGGCATATTTGCAAATGTTCTGAAAAATGTCTTGTCACAAAAAGAAAAGGTAGGATTTTGGAGCAGTTTCTCTACTTTTACATTCCTCTTAACTTGAAAACTAAAATATATTTTAAAACTTTAACACAGAGTTTTAGTTCACAATTAATAAAATTATGGCGCATATGATAAGTATCATTGCGATTTTTCTAATAGTAATTGTTATTGTTCTAATTTACAGAATTTATTTTAAAAAATGTTTTCCATTCACGAATATTCCAAAAAATTAATAAAAATAGTTAATTTCTCAATACACCACTTGAAAATGTGACATTTTTCGGTTGTGTCGGTTATTGCCTCGACTGATAATATCTCATTCATTAAGAGTTTTTTGGTGTGCTCTGGTGACGCAAGCATCCAGACTGTCGCCTAACATGGAAATTGGATATAATAATAATAAGACACTTACTATTTTCAGTCAATTTACAAATCATTTCAACATATCTTCTTAAGCAATTCTCCCTGAACTGTTTCTTTTAGAGTTATTTGAACTTAGAGATTTTGGTAATACCAACGTGATGCTGCTAGCTAGGGTACTGCCACAAAAAATCCTAATGGAATTGCAATATATAAATATCCAAACACATTTTAAAATTAATTAATTGATTAAAAATTAGTTAGCGATGAAAATGTACTACGAAAATTCTTAAATTGCAACTGAAAATCGTACATGTTGCACACATAGCAAAAGTATGCAAAAGAATGTATTTAATACAGTTTTTTTTTTAGATGACACAATACCAATCGATGTAGAAGATCTAATACTTCAACTCTTCGAGTTAGTCAATGAAAAGAATGAGCTTTTTAGGAGGCAGGCAGAACTTATGTATTTGTAAGTAAATGACTTTTGCAATTTGTGTGTACAACAGTTAACGTGGAATTTGAAGGAGACGGCAACAAAGGCTAGAAGAAGAACATGCCGACGTGGAATACCAAATTCGGTGTCTTATGATGCAACCAGAGGCAAATAAAACTGATTTTGATAAGACCAGGGAAGAAGCTCTAATCAATAGGTTAGTTAAGCAAATAAAATAATATAATCTTGGGAATAAACAATGTCTTTAAGGCAATTAATTCTAAAAGTGACAAATTTTAAATTTCTTTCTAATGAACAATATTTTATATTGTATTACCTATTGGTTTAAAGATATTAATTTTTCCACAGGCTACTGTAACATTATTTACAAATCTTCCGGATTGCTCCTGCGTCGGTCGTTGTTGAGTCGGACTCGTCCACGTTTCGCCAATCATTTTGTTATCTTCTTCAGAGCCTAACTCAAACATTTAAAGAGTTGCACCCCTTAAGCTCTGAAGAAGCAAACAGGAGGAGTACTGGCTAAACGTGAGCAAGTTCGACTCAACAATAACCAACGCAGGAGGAATCCAAAAGTTTTGTAAATAGTTTAAAGATGTTGTTTACAGGTTGATCGAAATTGTTGAAAGGCGAAATGAAATAATTGAGTGCTTAGAAATGGACAGAGTTCGTGAAGCAGAAGAAGATGATAGTATCCATAGTCAGCTAAATCTGTACAGTTTAAAAAGGGAAAGTGAAAAAGAAACAAGAAACTTGGAGAGTGAGAACAAGAGCAAAAAGGACAAAAAACATAGAAAGGAAAAAAGGTTCAAGATTCATCTGCACAGACACAAGGAAAAGGGACAAAAAATTGATGTTGACAAAGACGTTGATGAATCAGAGATTAGTACCTACACATTGGAAAAAAAATCGAAGAAGAAGTTTAATCTCTTTTGATTTACTGTTTTTAAATATTTGAGCTGTGCTTATGCTGCGCACACTACATTTTTTAGGTCTAATAATTTCACGTGCTATAATAACTTATCCCTTCAATGCACATTTTTCTACTTTTGTATTGAAATACTAAAACCAATTTTGAACTGAATAAGAAAAAAGTCATGTAAAGCTTAAAAGAGACAACTTGTACATTAATGTTGCAGTCATAGGTTAAAAAGTAGGAATTTCATGAAAGTATCTACACAACTTGTTCCTGTTGACAATGTAAGATTGCAATCAAAAGTTGATTGCAAAACATGATCTGCTGAAGATTTTAATGAGTCCCACCACATCATAGAGCAAATTCTGAGTCAATATTTTAAGTTATGTTGTAATTGAACAATACAGTGCATTGAAGAGTTAATCCTGTTGCATTCTCTTTCTCTAGTATGTGGCTCAATAATTTTTGCTCTTTAGAAATGGGTGTAAAAAATTGTCACATTTATTTTCCTACTGCATTTTGAAAATATTACTAGAGAAAAAGATCAACAGGGAGAGGAGTTAGAGACAAATAATTTTTTCTGCAATTTTGTATTATTTTATTTTCGACACACTCCCTCTTTGTTATTAAACATTGTCAATCACAATGTGAATTATTTTAAAGTAAAAGTTTTTTGTAGAAGTATTTTTTTTGTTACTGTGAGGTTTATTCCTTAAATATATTTTTTCTAGTACAATATTTTATTTGAATTTATAAAACAAACTTTGCTTTACTAAAATTATTAATTATCTAAGATACTGGTCCATGGTCGCAATTTATAATCTGCTAACAAGATTATAAGTTCTCAATTAAAAAATTGCAACTTACATGAATTGAAAAATTAAATGAACAAGAAAACGAGCAATTTAATTATTTTTTTTAATTATACACCCCATTTTGTAAAATCTAATTGCAATTTATCTAAATAATACATACAGCATAGGTTACGTGTAATAAAAAACTGCAATTTTTTGAACGCTTTCAAAATTTGGTATCCCAATACCATATGAAAGAAGTTAGAATACTTTTCTAACTCGTACCCTGCAAATATTAATAATCCCAATATCGTTTTCAGTACATTAGTTATTTGAGCTTATTATTTGCAGTTGACATACCATATTTCAATAAAATACTTGTTACCTTTGTTCCACAAACTCGGTAAAATAGTCTCTTAATATTGAAAAGCACAAATCAAACGAAGCAACTGCAAAAGTGGTATTGCAGATCTCTTTGTTTGGATCTCAAATATTGACAGTTACAAATAAAAACTTTCAAAACTATTAGCTGGTATAGATGCCGGACAATTTTTATTGTACTGTGGAATATAAACATACAATTGAGTCAAATATTTACGTAAATTTGCTGCAAATATTTCGGGTAATAGAAAATAGACATTGAATTTTGTTATAATTAATATAAGATTTGGTCAATTTAAAAAAATCAAAATTCTTATTTCACTTTTTTCTGATGTTCATTTATTTCACTTATGGTTTAGTTTTTTTTACTTATTAAAAGCAAAAATTTATTATTTAATAAGACTATAAAGTCTCAATTTAAGTAATGTGTTCAAATAAATTTGAATTTAAGTCATTACAAGTTATCTTAGCGCCTCTTAAACCCATATTTCTTCCTTTCATAGAACAAGTCTGTCTTTGAACTGCCCAAGTTTACAATTTTGGGACAACCATCTCTATCTTTTTCTTGAATTGTGCATTCTTTGCAATAGTAAGCATCTGACACTCCTGGGCCTCCACATATCACACATCTTCCTTGGTAGGAGCCATAATTGCACTCATCACAAATGCGAACTAATGTGCATGGCCTCACATAGGAATCACAAATAACGCATTTCCCGTCGCACTTTTCACAAAGTCTGCCGATGGCGACTCCGGGCTGTTTACGACAAAATATTAGATCTGGATGATGTTTGGCCATGTTTTATACAAGGAACTCCCTACAATAAAAAAAGTATATAGATTGCTTGCTTTAGCAATAGCTTCCGCCAATACAATACAAAGAAAAACTATTTCTTGAATGTCCTTACCGTTTTTTAACCCAATATACTTATGTAGACACTTCCTATAATAAAAACAGGTAGATGGGAGTCTTTTAGCAATGCATTCCGTCAATACATACCTATTTTGTTGTATATGTGCAGAATTAAGACGAAACTGTTTCTCTGATGTCTTTACGCTCTCTTAAACTCAACAATATACTTCACAGTCATGGTTATAGAGTTACTCTTCCTCTTACCATCAAATTGATACAAGTTCAATAAAGCGTTTAGCAAAGATGAAGCACGCAATAGCTAATAAAAACTTAAAAATTCATTAATTGATATTTTTGTAGAGAAGGAAATGGTTTTAGCAATGCTTCTACATTTCACCCACTAGCCTGTACTCCACTGATTTTCAATGTTGGATGGACCTCAATTTTTTTACATAATTGCATTGCTTCATAAGTTCTTGTAGTATCATGAATAATTTTTTAGTATTAATAATTTTTTTTAATTACCAGGTTTCTCTAATCTGCAGAGAAGGCTCGTGAACTGCTGTTAAATTTATATTGTTATTAGGTTATGCTTAAATTTTTCTTCACACTGATTAAACAGGTTGAAACGGTAAGTCCAGGGAGATGGACAGAACAATGCACTCGCTGTTTTTGTCATGACCGATACACGATACATCGAAACGCGGCTTTAGACGAGAAGGAAATGATCACTAGCGACTGGCCTGCCGGTGAAACTGACTCCCGAATGTTTTGCGAATAGGACCTTCGTGGCCATGTAAATGATTTGAAACTTATATTTAATTATTTCGGTTAGTTTTGGAGGAACTGATTTCCTGATGAGCGACCAGTGTGTCTAGCGCCTACCCTAAGCCTGGATAATAGAGAAGGATCTTTTTGTTACCAGTGAGTAGACCAAGAGAAAGATTAATTTTTCTATACCTTGAGAACGCCACCAGAAAAAAAAAGTATGAACATAAGAAACTGCCATAAAAGGTAGAGCCTTGGGGAAAACCTCTGTAGGCTCTACAAGACAACGGGAAGACAGGGATACAAAAAAACCTCTAGGAGTTCAGGGATATGCTCTTCAAAATGTAGCGGCCCACGAGAAGTTTAGTTCTGAGCAAATTAAATAAAAATGTGGTTCTAAACAACAACAGATAGTAACCAAGTAGTATTTATAAATAGAAAGGAAGCTATAGGTGGTACAGAAACAAACAACGGATACTTGTTTATAAAATAAATGAGTAGGTTCAGATTGATAAGGCTATATATACCCCCAAAGATTAGTTACATCGAAACCACGGATAAAAGAGATGAAATTATTGAGCATTCCAGAGAATAGATCACCCGTTAGAGACAAAAGGGGCGAATATTTTAAGGATTTGAGGTTGGCGTCTCTGAATGTGGATCTTGAAAACACGGAAACTTAAAATCATATATAGACCATCATCTGTCCTATCACGAATATCTTCAGGCGAGTTCGCTAGGTCGTGGGTACTCAAAGACCAATACATCTACTTTAATATTGAAAAAAAAACAAGAGAGACCTACACAAATAGCCTTCATATGACTAGAGGAACAATTAACACGTGGTGAAATAATAAAATCATTGAAAAAATTAAAAACCAAAAAACCTTTACCATTTGATGTTGTAGCGAAGGCAATCACAGAACTCGTAGAGTGTATTCCGGACACGATCTTAGAGATGCTAAACCAGCTATTATCTAGACAGATATTTCCAGACACATGTAACAAAGCCAAACTTCTTACCCAAAAATGGAAAATGCACACGTACAGGACAATATGTATCTTGCAACATTTGATAAATGTTGTCCCTAGCTAGATCTCTGATGTTTTTATATTATTCGGATGTTTATTTACTACACTAAAGTCGATATTTGCAAGATGGAGATTACACTCAGGAAGGAGGTCAACTTGCTTATTTCAGAAAGAGCAGCCTATATATTATTCCATTTTTGAATGATTATTAATACCCTAAATATAGTTTAAACATATACTAAGGACATTTTCTAAGTCTAACCTAAGATCTTGATCACTGATTCACGGGTTTACCTAATTATTAAAAGGAATAGTATATTATGCAAAAAGTGCGGTAAACGGCATTTGACTCACGAGTTTATTTGATACGTGCGGAGCGCAGCGGAGGTAGTTTTTAATAAACATTTTCGCAAAACGACAAATGTATTCACTGACATGACCGTCAGAACTGACGAACGTCAAAATTCAAGGCGTGGGAAATATCTCCGAAAACATCCGATTGCTCCCAAACCCGTGCGATAAAATCCCTGAAATGTCCGAAGTAACTCGGATACGTGGGAAACGAAACTGACGTGGTGAAGTGACGTTTCCTGCACGCCAGATCGGTGTGTAGTTAGGTATTTTAGAGACGGGGGTAGAAAAATTTCATTAATTAACTAACCGTTTTGTGTATACTGGTGTCAAATTTACAACTAACAAATCTTGAAGCTTCCTGTATCAATAGAAATTGTAAATTGCTAATTTCGGATAATTAAAATATTTCGAAAAGCAAGAAAAATCTTATTACCGTATAAACATAATTCGAACATAGTTTCTGTAAATAAGCGAAACTTTTTCCAAGCTTAAGTAAAAAAAAAAAAAACAAATTGAATTTTTCGTTTCAGTAATCTAATGTGATTAAAATTTTTGACATAGTATGGTGACATGTGACATTTTAATGTCATGGGGGCCTATTAATTTTAGGATTTAGAAACCTAATAGAATACGTTTTGTGTTATAAAATGGAAAATAGGCAATCAAGAACATGGCCAGTTTTTGCACCGTTTGAAGTGGTAATTCACAATAAGCCTCAAGATTGTTGGGTCTCTCTTTTAGGAAAGGTGCTAGATATTACACCGCTTATAAAAGAGCATGAAAATGAACAGAGCATTAAACCTTTAATAGCAATGGCGGGTAAAGACATTAGTCACTGGTTTGATAACAAAACTGGGGAAATTCGACACTATGTTCATCCCGAAACGGGTGCCAACGTCCCATACTGTCCCTACGGCCCTTTGCCTGATGTTGCCGAAACATTGCCTACTCCTACTTGGAGACCTTTATCTGAGACTCCTTGGTGGAAAAATGACAAGTAAGCATTAGAATCGAGTCTTTCTCCGATAGATATTTTAGACACACTATTGCTTGCTTTGCCTTTTTTAGTAAGATTGGTTGGATTAAATTGGATTAAATAAGTTAACAATTTTACTATTATTTTTGCTACCTTGCTAGGACGGAAAACCACATTTTTGTGATAGCCCCACTGCAAATCACAGTACAAGAAATTCGGTTAGTTATTTTTTCACTGTGTTTATTGTCTTCACCTTCGTTAATATTTACTGGCATTTTTTTAAGACTTTATTAGGATTTGCAGTTACAGTGAATTTACATCCTATTTTAAATAATATTTTAAATTTTAAATAATATTGCCAATTTTATGATAAAGAAAAAAAGTTTTCTGTAAAAGATAAAGATAAAATATCGAAAATTAAGCTGAAAATGCAGCAGGAGAAAGCCAATGTCGCTGAAAATAACAGCAGTTAAAGACGAGGTAACGAGGTAAGAAAAAAACAGTTAAAAGAAATAATCACATAGGCATGGCGACTTCAGAAAGTTATATTATAGATACTGAATGTACAAATCATCTACGGCCAATAAAGGTTAGTCAACTAAAGCTTTTTTAGAAAGTAATTTGCATTTATTCACTGAAAAGAGACAAATAAATGTTAACAACTCGAGGGTTTGCGATGATTTATTTAAAAACATTTTATCATCTACTTGATAAAGAAAAAATAAAGATAAACAGTACCAACATTGCATGGTTGGAAGATCAAGGTAGAGATGCTTGAAACAAAAAAAAACAACAAGCTTTTCAGGCACTTGGCAGAAGACCTGATAACAATAACAATACTGGAATATGTGTCTAGTGATGTAGTGAGACCTATAAATCCAAAAACATTGGATGGGAAAAGGTACATGAAAATTAATAAAACAAAACTTATTGGAATATAATCATTTGGAAAAAGAGGATACAATATCAAAGAAGTGAAAAGTTAATAATGATTGAATATTGTGGGTATGGGTATCGTTTGTGGAATTCGTTAAAAAGACAAATAGCACTTGGGAAAAACGGTAGTATTCAATGAACTAATATAAAATGATGGGGCCGTATAATTGAATGATACTAAGAAAGAAGAAAGCCAAGCCAAAAATGAGAAAACAAAAAATAGCGATGTGGATATGAATTTTGCATTCAGATAATGGCATACAATTATGGTTTCGAAATATTCAAAGAATATCACCTTTTCCTTGGTGTATCTGCGAAGAAGCCAAGATTAAGCCCGAAGAAGACATATATGCGATAGTAATAAGAATGTTAACAGATCGAGTGTTATTAGTGTCGAGTTAGATATGTCATTGCAACAATTCGATGAAAATTAAAACTTTCTTTGTGGAGAGATAGACACTCCAGTGATTATGGGACAACCACAAGGACTAAATGAAAAACAAACTTGTTAGATTTTATGGGTTGAAACAGAATTTAGGATTTTAATGGAGTTAATATAAAAAATTATGTATAAAATATAATAAAAAAAGCGTAATCAAACACTTTTATTGCGAATTGATTTTTACTTAGATTCTATGGTCTCTGAAACCTAAATAAACTCTATTTGTAGCCTTTTATACTAAGCTTGGTTATTTCATACCCATGTTCGTTTATGTCAAACAGTTGGAAATTTGGTACATGAAATTTTTTTTCATTAAATTCTTCGTAGTTTCTTGGTTTATAAGCATTGCTGCAACAATAGCTACTTCTAAAGAATCCGGTGGTTTTAAATGCATGTTATCGTTGATCCTCCTGGTTCATTATTGCTTATATTGAAGAAAGTTTTATTTCAATATATGCAGCCAAATTTATCATCCGCTGCACTACTCCTTAAAAGATCTTGTTCTGTCCATTTCCGATCAATTCTTTATCTTCTCTATTTCCGTCAAAGTGTTTATGTTGCAAACCCTGGATTTCAAGAATTCCAATTAAATCTAGGGTCTGAACAACCCGTATGACCTTCAGTTTCTGGTTGGGCATTTCTTTTGTTTTTTGTTTGTACCTAAAAACTCAAATGAATTGTTAATTTTTCCAAAAAACTTCCGCAGGCTACTGTAATACTATTTACAAATCTTCTGGACTCTTCGTACGTCGCTTGTTGATAAATCGAACTTGCTGACTTTTCGCCAATCATCCTGTTGGCTTCTTCAGAGCTTAATTGAACAACTCACGCAGCAGGAATCCAGAAGATTGATTGATTTGTTGCTTTTTTTAAGGAAATTTGCTCAATTTTCCAAATCGTTACACATCTTTGAATCGGTTGAATTCCTCATTGTCTTGATGACTATTTTGGTTTAAGGAATTGAAAACCCACTTTTCGAAGTGTCCAAACACTTTTGAACTTTTCTCAATGGATGGATTTACAGAAACTCCCGAAACATACCGGTCAAATGTTGTGGTTGCGGTAAAGCGTTTCTAAAAACATTTATTTTTACAAAAAGTGGATTAAAGTAAAGTAAAGAAAACCAATTCATACAACCAGTCGAAAAATATTAATATCTTGGCTGTTGGCTGCATACAGACTGGAACCCTGAGAGGAAAATTAGAACAAGAATAGAGAAAGTACGTGCGACAGTTATTAAGTTTAGAAACTATGCATGCTCTACGCAAGATGCTACGTGTGGTCTGCCTTGCTCTATGGCATAGAAGTGTGGACCATGAAAACCAGCAGCATAAATAGAATAGAAAGAAACCTTTGAAATGTAGACATACAGACGCCTCTTAAAAATACCCTGGACCGGTAGAGTAACAAATGAAGATGTACTCAATAGGATACACGAAGAGAGAGAATTGTTTCGTACCATTAAAAAAAGGAAAACCTCCTACTTGGGACACATAATTGGAAATGAAAAATATAACATCCTACAGCTCATACTCGAAGGAAAGATTGAAGGCAAAAGGGGAATGGGTATAGAAGACCTCATAAACACCTCAACATGTGGTCGCTAAGATCCTAAGAAAAAGAAGGAAGTATTATTCAACTAGTGCCTGCAAATATTGCATATCAGCTTGCTTTCTTGTCTCAGTTGTGCACATTGTTGTACTGGTCTGGCTATATATAACTAGGCGTATGTTTTGATTAGTTTAAAGCGCCGACTATCTGTGACTGTCATTAGTAGCGTTGCTTTAATCTACCGGAAAAGCTATTGACTCTCTCAGATATTAATAACTAATAATTTTCTATTTTCTACATAGGTTCCAAATAGGCTTACTTAGTCAGAGAATTCGGCCAATAAGAATTATCAATATGCTTACGTTGACTGAAGTCACTATAAATGTATGCTTCGAAGACACCTTTCACAGAATATTGGAACGGTATCTTATGTATAATAGCGATGCCCGGAGTTATACATGGAGGTAAATATTTATGGTAATGTGCTATTTGGCAAATGCAAGACATATAGCTGGGGCGTTTAGATTTCAGATATTTTTTGTTTTGTCATGTGTACAGGTATATGAATAGGAATGTCGACATGACGAAGACTATGAATGAAAATGGAATTTCAGATGACAGACAACATTTTGCTGAAATAGGACTACCGCAAAACTTTTATATCCCCAGTGTATTTCTCTATTATAATGACGATTTAAAATTTGCAAAGGAATACGAAAATCATTAGAGACATATTGAAACTAATTTATTAAACGAAATGCAGAAGAGGAAGGTTTTTCATTATTTTTTTATTATTATCCATATTATTCTGTTTCTTTTTTTTCCAAAGAAACTTCCACAGGCTAATGTAATGCTTTTTACAAAACTTCTGGCTTCCTCCTGCGGCGATTTTTGCTTAGCTGCAAAAAACAGTTGTCAGTCAAGCTCTGAAGAAGCCAACAGGATGATTGGCGAAACGTCAGCAATTTCGACTAAGCAAAAACCGACACAGGAGGAATCCAGCAGTTTTGTAAAAAGTATTCTGTTTCTACTTAATTAGTTCTTTTGTTAAATATTAAATTAGTTTTATTCATAGAAGTTAATACTTTCTCTTTATTCTGTTCGCTCTGCGGTATTTTTGTTAGGAAATTTTTTGACGACAATCAGTGAATCTCGGCTCTAGGGAGAGTTTACTGTCAATGTATAGGCAGGAGTGAATTTTAAACGTTGAAATGTATTTAAAAGTCGTACGAACGTATTGCTTCAAACGTCCGACAGCTTGCAATCCTCAGGATTTTTTTATCACAAGAATGGAAAATACAATTATTAAATTATAACAGACCGAAACTCATTTTGTATTAGTAAGTAGTAAAAAAAAACATGAAAGTGTTTATTTCACCTTGAAAATATGTCCGTAAAATTTGGTACTTAATTTTGAAACACCCCCATATACGAGTACAAGGCAATTTTGATTCCATAGAACTTGGCGGAATAATGAGAACAAAAACAAATCCCTTGTTTTATATTTGAAAGTGTTTATTTTTTTATAACAAATGATTGTAAAAGAAAATACCACTTCTTAACCAAAAACGCACTGCCTCAGATGTATTATATTATATTATAAGTTGGGTATTAATTTCTTGCTTGCCTTTGATACACATCTGTATTTTTTATTTGTATGTATTTTATATATTAGCTGTCAATAACTATTAAATTTAGTTTAAAGTTCTAGAAGGTTGTCAATATAATATCGAAGTTAACATAGTTTGTAAAAGGACTGAGCATAAATTTGTTGAAACGCTCTGGTATAAGATCAGATGTTTACATTTGAGTGTTTAGCTTATTGACGTTTTAAAGGCACCAAAATATTTAGTTTGTATTATTGGTTGCCTAGATGCGCCTGATTCGGTCACCATTCAATTCCATCTTGTCTGGGACCTGAATTTAAAGAGCAAAGGAAAGCGATGACCGCCACTAGTAACATGTAAACAGACTATTGTGTGATGTTTATTTCCGTTGATTTTGTCAGTGCGCGCCCAAAGCATTTTAGATCAAAACTCTCGATGTAGTGAAGTTTCTTACAAATATTCGTACAATGTTTAATTAAATATGATCCCCTCAAGAAAGAATAAAATATTTTTTGTAGAAAAAACAACTTCCAGAGTAAGTGCTACTTGGAAAGGTAAGTTTTAGTTTTTTTATTTGATTCGTCAGAAAAATACACGCAATTTAGTTCCCTTTTATAATATTTTATAATCCATGTTAGATCAATCGATTAACATGTAGAATGCGTTCAACCGACTGAGAAAAAATGAATTCCTGAAATTTATTTCAATTAATACGAAAATCTCAAAATTATTAGTATACATATTTGGTAGGGCATTTTAAGTGTTGTATTTTTCAAGGAATATTTGTCAATTTTTACGTCTTGCGCGAAATAATTGGAAGAACGTGAAGTTCTAATCCGTAGGTGTGAAGATCTAGTAAACAAATTATAGATAAAAACAGATAAAAAGTGCATGGGACATCAGAAGTACAGTAACGCGTTTGTCACTGCAATCCGCAAAATATTTTCAAAAAATAGATATATGTATCACACTATGACCCAGTTTTAAATACTTACCAACTGTAGCATTCGCAGCACTGAGTTTTCTGTGTGACCAGTATTTAAAGCATTTTAACCACTTTGAATATTACGTTTTATGAAATCCTATGTCGTGCGCTCTCAATTATCTTTATATGGTCATTATTAAAAGTGCATTCAAAAACTAGAACATTATTATTTCAAACTTGTTAAATTTGAAGTTAGTTATCTCACCTGCACTAATTTTCCAATTGTCATAACTCCGTTTATATAATTACTAAATATTAACGCCATTAGTGGGTGGTAAGTGGGGTTACTAATTAATTATTATTATTTTAGTAGTAGTATCAATATGTTTATAAACTTCTCTTCTTCATTTCACAAAAATAAAAAAAATTGGGGCCAGTTTATTTTATCATAAAAGAAAGAACTTTTAGAAAAATATTGTACAGGGTGGCCAGACAAAGTACTCTAAAAATATTCGTCGTACAGACTTGCTGTAAAAATTTTTTAAACCTCGTTAAAAAAGTCATTTTAAAATTTGAAGAATATAGAAAGACAAGCTTTACCCGAGAATTTCTTGTTTAACCCTATTTTAGGTACCTACTAATCTTAGCTGTAATACATTTAAGTCTTCGTGATGGCGCTGAAGTGCATTTTTTTATATAACAAAAATTTATAAAATTTTAAATGTTTATAACTTTTTATTATAAAAATATATGCAAACCTAATCTAAATAGGCCAGTGAAAACCATATCCCAATTTGTTATTCCTAGCCTAAAAGAAAAAAGAAAGACATAATAATAATAGCCTTTACTAAACAGAAGTAAATGCTTAAAAAACGAATTATAACTGGTTAAGAAACCGCTATTTAATATTAACCAATAAAATTTTACGGAATAAAAAGTCCACTGGGCGCAACAGTTATAACAAACTCAAATATAAATATCAACCAGACAGACAGATACGGAGTCGATAATATTATTCCAGACTTCTTACAGCCACCATGAAGTGACATTCAGTAAATGAGCATTAACTAAGCTATGGGACACTACCATTATTATTTCTCGAAAAAAGCTTTAAGAACCTGTTAACCTGTTAACCGAGTTAAACGAAAAGATTCGTTGAAATAAATTCGCAGCCGCACCTAAACCTACAAGGGCATAATTGTAAATAAAAATGTATGGAAAATTAAGAAGAAAAAATCTACCTTTTTTTGTGGTAAAAGAAATTTGTCGCGCAGCTTTTTTTAAAATCATGTGAAAGTTAGCATTACAACCATTAAAACTTGCACCTTCTTATTATTTTATTTATGAATTAAGTTCATAGATAATATAATCACTTTCCAGTTTAGCATGAGACAAATATCTTGACGAGCTGAGACAATATTGCCAGTGTTGGATACCACCAGGGCTTTTAACGATACACAATAATTTATGTATTCAAAAGCATAGGTAATACGTTATACGTTAACAAAATGTCTTGCTAATATTTCTTTAAATATTACTCATAACATAAAAAATAGATTTTTTTCAACAATTGTCTGCTTTTGCTTATTTCGTGAGATAAGTGACGTTTTGAAATCGAAGACGCGCGTAGTAGAGAATAGATGTCCAAAGAAAGCGTAATGCCATAGGATGTGGTTTGCATTATCTCTAAAAGTGTGTCAAATTTGTTGCTATTTATCATTAAATATTTAATATTTTAATATTGTTACATTATAATCTCATACACCAATGTGATTGCCCCTCTCCGGAGTTACTTTAGTATTATTTTATTGAACCGATCATGTATTCTAAGTTATACAATGTTCCTATGCTGAGATCCAACTAATTTACAAATCTCCGATTGAGGAGACTTTAACACTAACCTTGTCTCAGATTTTAACAAAATTCATTATTCGATCAGTCTGAGGAACAGATGGGTGAAAGTTAATAAACAAACAGCACAATCTGCTCTAATTTATTAACATAACTTGAAATTATGTTTATCCAAGCAAAAAATAAATTTAAAAAGACTGATTTACCTGAAAAATATACAAAATGTTTTTCTTTGTGGTTTGACATCAAGTCTTTGGAATTGCCAAGTTCCGCGATAAATAATTTTGCAAAATAATAAATATTAACGTTTACTAACCAAATCGAGAAAGTTTTTAAAAATCGTTAGGCGTTTTTCTGAGCACACCAGTCGTGGGGACAAGGCGTAATCTTTGGAGGTGCGCACGGATCGCATGGAGGTGGAGGATCGTGTATTCCTACACACTCTTCACCTCGCCTTATGTCGGATGTCAATAACGGAATAGCATTGTCGAACATACACTGCTCAAAATCGGTCAGGCTTGGTATTCCCAAGTTTTTCATTACGCCATTCGAACCGAGAAGTAAGGGGGTGGCTAAATATTTCACGTACGGATGTACACTGGAAGGAACGAACGCCGTTTCGATGATATCTGCGTAACCTTGTATTCCCTTAACCAACGAAATTATAAATCTAGCGGCAGCAAAGGCAGCGGCCATCGGGGAACCTTGTGATGGCTTAAATTTTGTAATATTCTGCCTCGCGTTTCTGATGCTGGCTGTAATATTTTCAATTTCTTCATTAGTAAATTCCGAACAAGGTTTAGCTTTAGATAATACAGGAATCACGGTCTCAGAAGTGCATCCTCCGATCACGGGTACTGTTACGCATTCGGGTTCGAGCCCTTGGACTTGGGCGACAAACGTGCTGGCCCGCACAGTATCTAACGATGTAATTCCGAATACGCCTTTGGCATTATAGCAACCGTGTTTCTTGAGAATCTCGCATGCCATTGGAACAACACTGTTAATAGGCGTAGTCCCTAAAGCTAACAGTGCCTTCGGACAATTTTTTGCGTGTTCCGTTACGATTTCCTTTACTATTGAGAAATTCGATTCCCGTATTTTCTCTTCAGTTAAAAAGTCTGCTGCATCCGGGGCGGAAGCGAAGATAACGACTATCGTGGAATCTCTCAAGGCCTGTGCTAAACTATCTTTTCCACTAAAAGAACATACCCTGCATCTGGTGTCGATATGGTTGAGTTCAAGAGCTAGCGCAGGGACTGATTTCACATCGTGAATACAGAGTTCGTCTATCAGGGGCGATTGTTTCAGCATTAGGCACAATGATTGTCCCACTTTTCCCGCTGCGCCAACGATTGTCACTTTCATGGAGCTGTAGTTTAAAACAGAGCTTAGTGTTAAAGGGTATAGGCATTTTCGAATGTTGCCGTTCACAAAATTAAACAATTTAGATCCAACTTGATACATCCTGGAAATTTGTTTTAAAAATGAATATCACTAAAAATTTTAATTTTAAGTTGTGTCACATTTTTGACATTTTGCAGAGATTAGAGGAGAGACCAATAAAATATTCAGTTTTCACTATTATTTAGATTTCTGCGAAACAGATATGACAAATTTTTAGATATGCAGTGTGTCCAAATAGTTGGTAAAAGTAATATTATCTTATTTATTATTTGTTTTAGAAAAATAAGTTCAATACAAAGGTTATAGATAAGACTAAAAGGAATAATTTAAAATTATATACATTAACAAAATATACATGTATATTACATGTATTTTATTGCATATCAATCAGGGTTATCGGCTATAATGAGTGTTCTCGGTTTCATGGTAATTTTTCGTCAAAAATACCCTGTGTTTAATACTTTATATTTTGGACACCGCTTGCGACAGCTGTAATTTTGTTATGCCAACAATTTTATAAAGTGATTTATACTCTACTTATCTTGAAGTTAGTTCGAATTATAGAGGGTGAGTCAAAATGAAAAATATTAGTTTTCGTGAAAAAATATGGAACGTCCTGTATATTATACTTCCATTAATGCTCTTTTTTACGAACATTTCATACAATATACATAATATTATCCCTAACGTAAAATACTGTTTAAATTGTTTTTCCAACGTTGCGCCTTTCACAATTTTATTTTTGTTTATATCTCAGATCTAATAAATTACTTTCTCATTACATTTTGTATTAGTATGTAACGTATCTGAAAAAATTATGCTTAATTCGCCTCTGTACACTTCTCATAATATTTATTTTATTCTCAAGCTTTTATGATATTTTCGCACGGTTTGAAAACGTTTAGTATTTATTTTCCTCGTAAAAATGTGTATACCTCAAAATATACTAAGAAGTAATTAATTAATTATCTAGTATAATATGTGTGCATTTTTTTACGATAATTAATATTTTTCATTTTGACTCACCCTATATAATTCGAACTAACTTCAAGAAAAAAGAAAATGACGGTTTCACTTTATGAAAATTGTTCGCATAATAATATGACAGCTGTCGGAAACGGCGTCAAAAATCTAGAGTATTAAACACAGGGCATTTTTTACTGAAAAATGGCCATAAATCCAAAATGACTCACTATAGACCATAACAACCTTACATCTTCTTAAGGTGCCATATCCATTTCACTGGATGTTGGCGACAACCTTACATAGGGTGATTAAAAAAAATGTAAGTTGGATTTGCCACCTATTTACTAATCATCCTGTATATTTTAAAATAATTTTAAAGTAAAATAACTAAACTATTGCAAATAAAAACTAAATACAAGCATTAATTGCATAAAGAAAGTAGAGAATTGCTTTAAATGCGCTACAAACAAAAATCATTACTTATATACGAGTACTAAAAAACTACTAATAAAAATCTGAAAATAGTACAATTCACAATAACAATAACAATAACAACAAATAACAGTTATGTTTAAAACTGAAGTATTCAAAGCAATAAACTCACTAAAATGAAGAAAACCGCCGGGATTAGATGGTCTAACATCAGACATTTTAAAAAGAAAAAAATTTCAGAATATATCAAAGAACCTCTCGCTCACTTAATAAATTATTAAACTTTTAAATCTATTAAAAATAGGCATGTTCCAGAATCATTTACAGAAGCTATAGCTAAATCCTTGTTTAAAACAGGTGAAAAACCAAACGTTGGGAATTCTAAACCAATTTCACTTATTAGTAATTTATCTAAGTTTTTTGAAAAAATTCTACAACAAAACAATCTAATAATATTTTATAATAATAGCAATATGTTTTCAAGCAGACAAGATCGCCGAGGACGCAGTGGCAAAAGTATACGTCATTACACAAAAGTGTTTTTTTTAAGAGCAGATTTAGAATTACTGAAAAACTGTATTTGTCGTAAAAGACTGTCTGGAAATAAATGGTGTTGTGATCAATTAATTTAAAGTTTATATATTATTTGGTACCAAAATAACAGAAATTGCCAAAAGCAATTAGAGATGCGCCTAGGTTAGGTATATTTGACAAACAAAGCAGGAATATATATATACGCTATTTGATATATATATTTTGATATCATCCGTTCGCTCGTTGAACTCCGACTGGAATCCTGCAAATCCTGCATCCGACTGGAATCCTGCAGACGTTTCGCCAAAAATCTCACTTGGCATCTTCAATGCTCCCGTTCCGCAGTGTTCGAAGTGTTTTCGGAGCGGGAGCATTGAAGATGCCAAGTGAGATTTTGGCGAAACGTCTGCAGCGATAGTGTAATAAAAATAATTTATGGTGTAATATTTGTTTCTGCTGGCACGTACACATACATCTAGGTGCACCTTATTGAATGAACTTTTAATTATTATGTGAACAGGCTTGTAAAAAAAATTGTAAAAAGTTTAGTTACATATATAAATAAAAGTACATCCTATAATATTTCGATATAAGATAAATAAGATACGAATATTTTTTCTTCATTTCAGGTTTACATGTGGCTCTGTTCTTCTTAATAGCAGCAAATTCATTCTTAAACTCCATACTAATTGGAAAGATATTCAAAGCGTTTAATTACAATTGTATTATATTTTGTACAAACATCACGTTCGATGAGGAAATTATACCAGTTCACTTGACGGACGGTGACAACGGCAGAAAGCTGCTAAATATTAATTCGTTGGAATCCGAAGAAAATTTTAGTGAAGTTAAAAGGTCGATAGTAGACAAGCAACCCATTAATGGAACTCTGGTGCAACAAAAATTCATTTCTTCATTATTAACTGAGTCTACGGAAAATTTGACAGTATTTCGCAACGAGTCGATTTTCGTTTATTCCAACGAAATAGAAACGACCATGATTCATTCCAGGATAAGTCTGAGAAAAAGTAGATTTCCATCGAATTTTTTATGCAACCTAACGCTGTGCACGGTTCTGATGACTTTTATTTGGTCGTTGTTTTTTGGAGTGCTTATGGTCATGTGTTCTAGAGGAGGAAGAGGATATTTGAATGATGTGTAAGTAGAAATAGACACAGATATTACGTACTTTAGGCTTACATTTTGGAAAAAAATTATTTATTAATTAAGCAGGAACTTTAGGCTTACATTTTGGAAAAAATGTATTTATTAATTAAGCAGTAACATGTCATGTACAGCATGTGTTACTTCTAAACGACACCAGAAAAGCATCTAAAGAATAAGTAGGTGTTATGCTTCGAAATAAATAAAAATATGTCTTTATAGATAGATAAATGGAGTATTAGAAATTAACCAAATTTCTTTCATTTTGATTTTACTTTAACATTTTTGGACTTTAATTTTCTAGTCACTTTAATTAATTTTTCCACTTCATTAAGCAGTAGTTTGTGTAATGTATAATACGGAGAAATGATGATGTTGAATATTTTAAAGAAGGCTTGTGGCGATTAAAAGCTATAGCACGAAAAATTTTGAAACTTTTAATGTGAAAATATTAATAATAATAATAATAATAATAGTAATAAAACCAATAATAATAATAATAATTTTTATTGTCTAACAGATTAACATCCATTTAGAAGACAATTTCATCTTGAGAACTATAACAATAATTATAATAAGTAGTCAACTATGTACACCCAGCAAAGTAATAGTGAAACATACAATCCATTACAATATTTCAAATTTGCGTTTAATTAATGTGGTAAACTGTGAGCGACTAAGACAAAAGACGTCAATTTCATTGCAGAAGTCATTAAATAATTTCATCAACTGATAGAGAACCCCTTTAATCAAAAAATTGGTTCTTGGAGTTACTAGGTGAAATACAGGTGACGCCCTTATAGACCTTGAGGGAACATGGAAGTTCAGCTCGCTCAGCAACTCAGGGCAATCCACTAATGAATTTCAAAGTTTATATAAAAACTGAAATGAAAGGTACATCCTACGATTCAACAGTGGGGGAACCTTAACCATCAGTAATAAATCACTCTGTGGCAGTCCCCTAGCTGGGTAGAAACCATTTATATAAAAGTGAAGAAATTTCAGAAACTTTCTCTGTACGTTTTCAATTTGAGTGATGTACTTGCCAAATATTTGTTGCCACACCGTTGAACCGTGCTCTAGCTTCGAGCGCACATAACTATAGTATAACAGTTTAAAAGATGTTCTCTTGCAAAATCTCTAGAGTTCCTCACTATGAATCCCAGCATTTTGAGTGCATTTCCACAGACTTTATCGACATGATTTCTGAAGGACAGTTTTGTGTCAAGTGTTACACGCAGTTTTGTTTGAAAATGTCATTGCGAAACATTTATCTGTATTCAGGGGTAGGTTATTAGAAGCACACCAAGAACCAATAATCTCCAAATCATTCTGCAGAGACACACAGTCGACCACACTATCAATTATTCTAAACAATTTCACATCTTCAGCAAAGAGCAAAATTTGACTATCAATTTTAGCTACTATATCATTAATAAAACGCAAGAATACCAATGGCCCTAAATTGCTACCCTGGATAACGCAGCTACTACCCATGAACCTAAGCGATGAGTGACTGCGAAGCTCCACCTACTGTATTCTGTAGATATGACTTTAAGAATGTCACAAGGGCATCACAAAATCCAAACATCCTCAGTTTAGAGAGCAGTACAGTGTGGTCCATCCGGTCAAAGGCTTTTGAAAAGTCTGTGTAGTTCATCTACCCGCCCTTCCGTCGTCCAAAGCCTTAGCAGTGAAATCTGTAAGGCAAGCCAAATTACTGATGGTGATCCGACCTTTAAAAAACCATGTTGTATCATTTTGTTGAAAATACTATCATGCATCGACATCTCGAAAGCCCTCGCAACTACAGGCCTGTAGTTGGATATATCAGATGATTTTTCATTCTTTAGGACGGAAGTTATTCTGGTTTCCTTCCAGACATCTGGGAAGCTGTTTGTTGGTAGCGCTAAGTTGAAAATAAGAGACATGGGTGTAACCAAAGCATATGCATAATATCGCACAACGGAACAAGGAACTTTATCAGGACCACAGGATACTTTGTTCTTAACTCGTGCTAATGCTCTTAATATAATGTCATCAGTTAAGTGATATCTGAAATTTGTGTATTAATTAGATGATCATAAACATATTTCAACATATTTTTATATAATTTATCATTCATAGAGAACTTACAATATATCAACTAAATGTCAGTAACGTGTCATGTCCATTTGTAAAAATTTGTCTCTAAATTATTATTTTTTTGTCGCAATAAGTATGATTTTTACTTATTTCTGTTGCAGCTTGAGCAAACCGCAAAATATAGTCTACCCCATATTAGTGACGTCAGCAGTATTTGCGGTTTTAAACTTGGTGGTATCGAGTATTTTTGAAAGAGGCACAAACAGTTTTTGCGAGAATTTCGAGATCTTCACACACAAAAAAACGTAAGTTTCTAAAAATTGCTCTGGCCGTTGTGATTTTAACATCAAAAAGTTGTCAGATTCAGAAATCAGCGTATTTATGTATTTAAAAATAATAATAATTATTATTATAATTATTTTTATTATTCCCAATTTTTCTTTCAAAATCTGTTGAAACGCAAACAAGAAAAAAAAATTACGCATACTTAAAACTAATTAGAATCTATAGCAAAAAGTAGAAAATACGTAGAAAAAGAAGTATAGATAGAAAGAAAAAGGAAAATGGAAGGAAAGCAGGCTGTATAACAATATAGATTTTTATTCCCTAATCGGAACAAATCTCTAACGAAATAAAATTGAGATTTTTTACTTTTTGAAGTATGGACGAGATTAGTCAAAATTAAAAGTTTCTGAGCCTGGAAATAACTTTAAATTGCTCCTTTTATATTTTGTTAGGGTTGGTAAATTCTTCATTCTTAAATTGTAATTATGACTACGAACGTGTACCCGAAACTTAAATTTTTCATAGGAAAACGTCTCTGAAATATATGAATCCATCAAAACTTTAGTTTGCGAGATACTCTTTTTCGACGACGTATACGGCACATAAACCTAATATAAGTGTTATACATTTATTGTAACATTCACGTCTTAAAATTATATAGAAATAAACAAAAGTGTGGCTTGTGATCTGTGATAGTTTTAGACATCTAGAACGACCTATCTAAATATATGAGAAATATATCTAATAATTTATTTATATCAAATGCAATGTTCAGCAAAAATCAATTCAAAAATAGAATTTATTTGCAGAGAAAACTATTGTACACCCTTTGATGTGTGCATACAAATATAAGTAACGTAAAAACTTAATGTATAAACATTTCAAAAATTTCCAACAAACTAAATAATTAATGATTAACAATTATGACCTAAATCTTTAGTTTCGATTTAAAACTACAATCTTTAAGAAATCGAAACGAATAAACTTTTGATGTATATCCGTTTGTTAACAATGTTTTTACTGCAAACGCTAAAATTCTAACCTATACATATTTAAAAAGCATCGCTCCCACGTGTGGGCTGCTTCCGGAACTTGGACTACTAATTTCACAAGGGTAAATGACTGTACTTTTTTTTCAGATGCTCATCGTCAATAGATCGTTTTACTGTTCAGTTCGTGCAAGAACAGAGAAGCTTTTACGTGTGCTACTTAATTGCCAATTATTCCTTTTATATCGGCATTGGTTTAATATTTGCACAAATTCTAATAACGGTATTTAGAATTTTGTGTGTGGTAGATTATCAGCTTTATGCCTTACATTTGGAAGATAAGGTAAAGTATGAAGCATCACGAATTCCTATACATTTCGTTATTTTCGTTATACACTTATATTATTACTGAAATTTGTTTAGTTTTACAAAATTTTCTTAGTAGTCATAAAATCTGGTATCGAATTAGATGGTATCTACTTGTAATTAGTTCATTTTATGTTGAATTTTGTAATTTTTGGTCTTTCGTAAATCGAAATCATATCACATAAATTAAAATATTGTTATTGACGTACCGGTTTGACTTTGATTTTAGGATAACAGGTTATCTGTAAGAAATATTATCAAAAACTTGGATTCAGCTACTTTTAAAATATTATTTTGTTATATACATAGCCTTTTTCTATATTAAGGTGGATTTTTCTTCCTTAGAAATTATGTATTTTATGTATTCCATATATAAAATATTTATTATGTATTTTATGTATTCCATATATAATCTCCTATACTTAAAACACCCTGCTTCTGACATTTTATGCCAAAAGTGCCATTTGTAGGTTTAAGTACCGCTTTCTCCGACTGAAAACCTATATAACACATTTGGGGTTAATTTCCTAGATTAAGATAGGGTGGGCAAAAATAATGTTAAAAATTTAAATAAAATAATCCTTAGAAGTCTTTTATTTTCAAATGGAAATACCCAATTTTTATAATTTTATCGTATTAAGCAATTAAAAAAAAAAACAACTTTGCATAAGGATGCCTATATGAAAAATTGCTTGAAAAATTAGATAAAAAAAACTAAAAAAAATGTTTATTTTTGCAACTTTCACAGAAAAAATTAAAATGAGATTTTTTTATTCCATTTAGTAATTTTTTAAAGGATTCTAAAAATTTAATTTTTCCATTAATATTGTTTTTGTTTTACGTTTTTGTCCATCTGGATATTTTTCAGAAAAAGTCGAAATATTTTTCATAATTTTTTTTATTCTTAGAGATTAAATATATTTACATAACTTTTGTGCTAAGATTTATATATAAGATTTATAAAAAATGTCAAGCGATGTGCCTTTTCTGTAGGTCTCGATTGTTTTTACTGCCATGTTTTGCCGTCTTGGAAAATTACTATCCACTTAGCATTTTTACAGTGTTAAGTTCATTATGAAATCATGTTTAGTTTGATTTTTCAAATTTTATTGTGTATTTTTAAGTAAAGTAAGTAAAGTTTCATTTTATTCTAATTTTGCATAAACGGCTTTTTTAAAATTTTTGTTGTTGTCTAAATATTCTAACGGAATAATGTAAAATTACTCTTATTTCTATCAGTGAAGCGTCTGAGATAAGGTGTCATCTCACAATAAACGGGGCACTGAATGGTTTTTGTATATGAGAAATTGTATATGTATAAAAATTATTTATTTTATACATATCAAAATATATTCAGCATTTTGCACGAAAAAAAAATGCTTGAGATTCTTTACAACTCGAACTCCCAATAAATTCCCATTTACCGTACGAAATTAATTGATTTGTACTAATAACTTATTCTCTTATGCGATATGATTTATGCAAGAAAAATTTCTTTTACAACATTTCTTTGTAATATGGAAACACTTTTACTGGTAACTTGTTACTTATTTCTAATTACTAATTTCACATATAAACTTATAAATTATATGAAAAATTCCTGCGAAGGAGTTTACAGAGTTAACTCAGCATTAAATAGAATTAATGATTGGTCAACAGATAACATTTTAAATTAGATGCAGAAAATGCGATGTGTTTTGGTTCACCAAAGTCAAATATAAAGATTACTTTATAAGATGCAAACTAAACATTTGGGAGCCATCCTTCAGCAAAAATCCTAACTCAAAACCACATATTGAATATATATTCAATAAAGCAAAAGATCATATTAATGATGACAATCATTTTTTATGGTCTCACATCTCGAAGCCTTTTCATTGACCCAAATACACAAATCATATCAAACGTTAAACACAACGCATTTGGAGGGTTAATAAGCAGTGAATGGGATCAACCAACGAAGTAGTCTATGCACAGTTATGTAAAAAAAAATGCCCAGGAAGGAAAACACTCTCAGGCTTTGTCCAAATTTTAATTAAAATTTAAACTTATTATGGGCCCAATTGTGCTACTCTCTACGCAAAAATTAAAAAACTAAATCTTAAAATTGAAAAAAACAACCAAAGCCCAGTTTGTAATAATCAAAAACTATATTTAAAAATTGCCACAGTATTGTCTTCACCTCCGCTTAAAAAAAAGAAATATGATGATGGATTTAGAGTCCACAGACATTTCGATTTCACCATTTAGTCTATCAAATAAAATGTTTAGCGGTCCACAATAAGTAATAGTACTGAAATAATTATGGTGTCGAAACAATTTTTAATTAAAAATAGAGTGGTTTCGGAAAACAAAAATGGTTACAAGCAGTACGCCATTCCATTACACCTTTAATACTATATTGATAAATTTTGTGCTTGTAATGAGATAAAAACTTTAAATCACTTTATTTATTAATTTTGTTCATGATCAATTGATTTGTTTTTTGTTTCAGAGTCAAACTGAAACCATTCCAGTGAGACAGCAAAATTCCTCAGAAATCGACACAACAGAAACGACAAGCATCTAAATGTTTTTTTTATCCAGAATGAGTGGCACCAGTGCTACATAAAAGTTGCTTGTATGGCTTTTATTACAAAAACCATAAGAAGAAGTACACAATTCTCGCTAATTCAGCCTTACATGTTGTGCCTTAAGGATTTGCAGATGAAATTAAGAGCAACGTTGTTAAACGGAACCAATATATTTAAGTACTTAATTGATTAGAAATCTGTATGTATAAATTATTAGGATTTTATAAAAGGTAACAAATAAAGTACTTAATTGTGGATCTAAATTCTATTTTAGTTTTATGCATTTATCGATATTTAAAAGTCTATGACATAGTTTCAGGTTGTAATAGATTAATAAATATAAATAATAATTGGAAATGGTGAAGGAGCTGGATATGTTTAACTTGGACAGCAAAGAATATTAAAAAGTAGTATGTAGAATACGACAATTTTTTTTGTGTATATCTATTGTATGTAATTGCCATATTTTCTTTTTTAATAAAGGGTGCATAAAAAACTTGCAAAAATGTTGATGACAATATATCACGGCCAACTTTTTCACCTGTTACAAGAATTTTGAATAATTTTATCGAAATAAAAAAGTTTATTTAGACACTTATACATCTATCTGTCTATTTATCATTAATCACTAATTTTACTAAATGCACTTATTATGTTGCATATTTTTTTTTAGCTATTTTTTCTTCTCAATTTTCTCCCGTACTATCTAGCTGGAGGGATTACAATTTGCAGTGGAAATTTTTGATTTTTGAATAAATATTGCGCATATATGTGGGGAGATAGAGATAAATTATAGCATTTTTTACAAATCTAAGAAAAAACTATTGAAAAACCAAGGTGGAAATTTCGAAAAATAAGCTACATCGATGTTTTTGCCATAACTTCGGGCTGCAAAAATAAAAATATTTTATATTTAGCTAACGCAATTCAATTTATCACTTTTATGTTTATGGAAATTTTTCTACTGGGTTTGTTATTAAATATACGTCAGACAAAGTAAGGTAAGTTAAGCTATTGTCTGAACCAAAGTTGCAAAATGATTTTTAATCTTCAGTAGTAATTATTTGATCCTGGTATAATATTACATATAAATAGCAACGCTTGATTTGTATGCCATGTAATTTCTATATCGTTACCTAAATAAATATTATAATATGAGATTATTACATAGATAATATAACATAATAGTGAATTGTCTCCAACCACAAAAGAAATCAAGATGTGCTTTACTATTTAAAACACGCCTTAGTATATATAGTTTAATGTATGGAATGGGGGAATCTAATCCGCCATGCATGTCCGTTTAAAGAAAATAAAAAAAAAACTAATTGTAAAAAAATGATTTCGCTTTTTTGGGAAAACATTTTTACCATGCTTATTGGTATTGGCGAAAAGCCGATTTAACCACTGCTGCATTGAGAGTGACTTATTGTGATTCCAAAAATATAGCCATAGATGTATAATTATATTCGTTTACCAAATATTATATAACTCATTAAAGAGTTTTGCATCAAAATAAAATATATCCTAACGATTTTTTTTTCTCGCTTTTCATAAACTATCCTGTTGTACACGTCAGCAAAGATTCAATCTGCATTTTATAAGAGCAACCCAGATGTTACTATATTATTGGTCCTTCATTGTATACCCCTCAACAAACGGATAAATATATGGTTTATTATACGAAAATTCTTTTCTCAGCTTTCTGCAGTAATAACATATTCGACCATATTGTATTCATATACAAACTAATTAGATACACAACTGGTGAAATACTAAATGAATAACAGAGATTACCATCGACCGTTCCACTTTACGAAACACGCATTGTATGGTTTTTGAATTATTATAAAGGGCTCTCGAATAACCTGAACCGTGTTGTCATTGACACTCTGAGAAAAATTTCATTTAATTTCGCTGTTTTGCCACTGTTCTGCGTTTTAGTATTATTATTAATTAATTAAGTATGATCAATATTTTGAAATCGTGTTTACTGAATAATACCTGTCAGCGTAAGGCAATAAAATTCACTGTTAACTTGATTGAGTGCTTAGCTTAACGCTACCATCATTAATGTTGTTTCTCTATAACGCGGTTTTGTGCATATTCATATAGCGCAGTCCTCACAAACCTTCGATTTTCTAAAACAAAAGTTGTTAGGTACTTATATATTATTATATCCGAGTTATCCCAAGATTTAATCAAAATTTTCTGAACACCCCACTTCAAGCTTCCACAACAAGCGTAACAACCTTCGCCTGATTATAACGGATTTGCCACATGGCTCTGTTCCATGGGAAACCTCCATGGCTGTTGGTTTCTGTGTCATTTATTTTATTTGTGTAAGATAATTTATCTAGCGAGAACAGTAACTTCTAATGTCCTTCCTATGTTTAATTTCGAATTGTTGATCCATGAAAAAACGATTATTAATGTTGCATGTCTGGAAAATTTTCATTTCAACTCGAAAGATTTCAGAACGGGAACCAAAACTCAAATTCGATTTTTTTTCGTTTGATATTATTTATATTTTTATGTAAGAGATTAAATTTTAGCTAACTTATGTACAATTTGAAATCTCTCTGGAACAAGTAAACAAAAACAACAAAACACAAAGTGCAACAGGTATTGTTTTAGTAAATTTCTACAAATTATAAAAATTCTTCTAAATCCTCATCGCAAGTTGTCAATATTGCAAAAGTATTGTGAGCAAAAGTAAAATAGTAATTATTTGATCTTGGTATAATGTTACATACTTAGTAGATAAATAAATTAAATTAAATAGCAACGCTTGATTTGTATGCCATGTAATTTCTATATCGTTACCTAAATAAATATTATAATATGAAATTATTACATAGATAATATAACATAATAGTGATAAACCAATTGTCTCCAATCACAAAAGAAATCAAGAAAACACGCCTTGGTATATATAGTTTGATGTATGGAATGGGGGAAGAAATCTAATCCGCCATGCATGTCCGTTTAAAGAAACTAAAAAAAAACCAGATGTAAAAAAATCATTTTGCTTTTTTGCGAAAAATTTTTTACCATGCATGTATTGGCGAAAGACCTATTTAACCACTGCTGCATTGAGGGTGACTTATTGTGATTCCAAAAATATAGCCATAGATGTATAATTATATTCGTTTGCCAAATATTGTATAACTTATTAAAGAGTTTTTTAATAATGTTTTTGAAGATTGCATCAAAATAAAATATATCCTAACGATCTTTTGTCTCGCTTTTCATAAACTATCCTGTTGTACACTTTGAATCGCCCTGTATATTTGTACTAGGTAAAGATAACGAAAAATCTTATTGCACTCTATTTTAAGTAACTTCAAGTAAGACAACGTCACTTCGACATGCTTGCTGCCTGCATTAGTGCTGTGACAATGCGAAGATCTTTGTCAAATATCACAAATCTCATTTCTTCATTGTATTCCAATTATCTCGCGATATCTTTGTTGCAGGTTCGACCTAATTTGCATATGTCTACTAGAAGGAACACACTAATAGTCAACAAATATATTAAAGGCTATTTTTATATTCATAAGGAAAGCACTAGTTCTCAAATTCTCGAAATGTAAAAGAGTAAAGAAATTAAAAATTTAAGATATTTTGTGTAAATTAAAATTACACTGCTTTTTGTTAAATTATAATGCGTTAAGAACAATCAATATATGTTATATTTAAAATAATTCTTCTTCTTCTTGTATCAGCTTCTCCTTTGGAGGTTGTTGATTATCATGGCTACCTTCACTTTTTATACTGCTGATCTAAATAATTCAATTGATGATGGACCAAATCATTCTCGAAGATGGCGCAACCAAGAGATTCTTCGGCGCCCTATACTACGTCTACCTACAATTTTGCACTCCATAATGAGTTTCAGCATATCTTGTACCGCGTGATACATGTCCCAGCAAGACAAGTTGCGTTTTTAAATGGTAAAGAGTATTTCGAGTTCTTTGCCCATTCTTCCTAACACTTCCTCGTTTGTAGTTCTACTCATCCACGAGACTCTCAGCATGATCCTGATTGTCGTCTAGGCATCTCTGGGCAAGAACATTAAAGGCGAAAATGGCTTCCCCCCAAGCCCATTGCGGAATCCAAATTGTATGTCCGAGGTTTCATTTTCGCATATGTTGTGTATTCTGGCGTGCACGATTCTTAGTAGTGTTTTCAGAACATAGCTCATTACACTTATGAGTCGGTGGTCATCACATTTAGATGGTCGAGATTTTTTTGAGATAGGGACAAAAGTAGACAGAAGCTAATCATGGGGAATATTATCAGTCTTATATACGTCGTCAAAGAGAGCAATTTCAAAAGCTCACAATGCACATCTTCTTGCCCCACTGCTTTGCTAAATTTTGCTATCCTTATAGCGTGGTCAATTTCATCTCTTGTTATTAGAAGTGGGTTCTCGGTTCTTGTTAGCTCGTAGTCAGTTGCTCGTTGGTCATTGAAAAGCTGCTTTATATAAGTTTTCAAGATCCCCAGATCTCCAGATATCTCGATGTTCAAAATTATTGAATTTTGTTCGTTTCTTAAAATACCTGTGTCTATTTTCGATCCAATACCAACTACTTCCTTTATCTTTTTGTGCATGTGAAAGCTTAAGATTTGCGTCTCAGGTCCTCTATTTCTCTGCACCTTTCCTTTCATCCATTTCTCCTTAGCTTCGCGGATTTTGTTACGAATAGTGTTTTTAATGGAGTTGTATTCTGCTTCATTATTGTTTTTATGTTTTGTTATCTCTTCTATTAGTTATAAAATTTCTTGTGCCATCCACCTCTGTTTTGGCACTCTCCTGTCCTTACCAACTATTTTTTTTTGTGTTATTACTGCGGTATTCTTATTTTATTTCCATTTTGTGTTCTGATTCCAGGTAGCGAATCCTTCTTCATGTAGCCTATGGAATTTTTTATTTAAAAAGTTGGTGGTAGTGTTTCTTATAGTTGGCTCTTTTAACCTATGAATATGTATATGTTCTCTCTTTTTAGTTTTAGGTTCATGTCCATATAGGGTTGTGATCGGATCCGACATCTGCGCCTGGGTAAGCTTTTACTAAATCTTTTATTCCCTAAAATGTAGTCTATCTGGTTTCTTATTAAATGGTCTTTGTTGTCTACGGGTTCTTTCCAGGTGTACAGCCTGCTTTTCTGAAATCTAAATAGTGTGTTGCTTCCAACCAAGTCTCTTCTACGCAGAACATGCGAACTCCCCGCTCATTTCTCGCTCCTAAACCGTATGCACCAACATAGTCTTCATATTTGCCCTCTCCAATTTTTGCATTGTAGTCGCCCATAATAAGTCACGTTCTTTTCTCAATTTTAGAATATCCCGGAGTTGTTCATAGAATTCTTCAATTTCCTGGTCACTTTTATCTACTGTAGGGGCGTATACTTGTATGAGGTGTAATTTAGCAATGTTCGTTTGGATCTGAATCATAATGATCCTGTCGGAGTAGAGAAAGAAATTGATTACTGATTTCGCCATGTCTTTCGTTACCATGATT